TAGAGTTGCTGGTCTCATTAATTATTCTGTGCTCAACATAATTTTTTTGTCCATTTTCAGGTTTGTCACGTACTGCTGCTACCACACCAATGTCTACAACACGTCATTCCTCGGCACAGATGTATACCTCTCGTACACGTTGGGCTCTCTAGTGGAACTGCCTGGATTGCTGCTTGTGCTGTTTGGCTTGGACACGCTTGGTCGCCGTTGGCCGATGGTTATTGTGACGGGTGTTGCTGGCATTGTTGGCATCCTGTCCATTCTCTTCCGCAACGGTGAATATTGCAAAAGCAAAGCTTGAGTGTTCTCAAAGGAGAACATCTTTAATCATTACAGTGACATAAATTTTGTATTTGTAGTTTAGGGTCATGTACAATCGCACCTATATTTTCCTAGAAAGTATAGGCACTTGAATTCTAAAAGGCATCACAGAAACAACAAAATAACAGCAGTAATATGTTATAAAAATTATCAGACAACGATAGGTAACATAAGGGTTGTTTTACAATTTCTGTGCCTGACCTTAGTGGGAAGTGGCAACGATATAGAAACGTCCGTACATGTAATTTTGAAACAGTGCTCCACATTGTCTACATTCTTATCATCGTGATCTTTTAGTGGCTGTTGTCTAAAGAATGAAGCCTAATTTAAAACAACAAAACAAAACAAATACAGTTGGCACACCCTCCGCAGTTGCAAAAGCGTGCCGCAGAATTCCTCTCATTCAATCAGCAAAGAGCTGACATATGTGGTAGATGGCTAGCCACTGCAAGATCCTTGTTGCTTGCTGGATATAAATCAGATTCAAGGCAGCCGCCTAGGTTATTCTAAGATTGCCGTCTTATTGTACTAGCATGTCTTTCTGTCTAATGGTAAGCATCACCTTCTTTAGTTGGTGCATTGGTTGAGCAATATTCACATATGTCATGAGCCTTCCTTTAACATCAAAGTTTCAGCTCTCACAAATGATTTCCATCATTTTGTGTTTCTACGATCACTGATCAGTATAAAGGTCTTCTCATTGCTTTGAAATCACACTCTTGTCATTCGAAAGTGGTTGATCATGAATTTTTTCAACAGCCAAGACCCAGTTTAGAAAAAAAAAAGGGGGAGGGGCACGTTTATAGGCTGTGTTAAAATCTATCCCTAGTTCTAGTTTGATGTGAGGATTGGTTAACAGGCAAGTAGAAGCTCAAAGCTTGCTTCTTTAATTTTCCTGCATGCAGATATTGTAACCACTTTATCGTTCCTGCCATTGTTGAGATGGTGGTTTTCTTGCTTGGTCACGTTGTCAGCTTGCTTGCGCGAAGCTTCGTCATGGAGCTTTTTCGATCTGACTGAAGGAATGCTGCAAATGCTTTTAGCGCACAGCTGTAAGTTAGAACATGCTCTGCTAACACTGCAACTAATGTCTAGGTCGGGATTTGTACTAATTCCACTGCAGACGTATGCTCTATTGGCATTGAATCTTTTTCTGTCATGTACTAACTTAGTATGGGTGCATTAGTTATTTATATTTTGAATTGCATGGATCCACAGCCTACTAAAATGTGCAAGCAGTAGAAGCACGTGTGAACTTTTTTCGTACTATTTCTCAGGCATGCCTGTATATAATGACATTGAGCCATTGAAGGGGTCCCACAACACTTTTTGAACATTGTTAGAAAACGCTTCATATCGGTAGTCGAGGCTCTCGAGAACACGCAAAACAAATATTATAGTGCATCGCGCGGCCTGGAATTTACAGTGAATTCTCAAAGTCAGCTAAAGATCACTTTCTGTCCTCTCAATAAATGATGCCATATGTATATGCAAAAATCATTGTGTAATTTTATTGATTTGATTGATTTGTGGAGTTTAACATCCCAAAACCACCGTATGATTATGAGAGATGCCGTAGTGGAGGGCTCCAGAAGTTTCGACCACCTGGGGTTCTTTAACGTGCACCCAAGTCTGAGCACACGAGTCTACAGCATTTTTGCCTCCACCAAAAATGCAGCCACCGCTGCCGTGATTCAATATCGCGACCTGCGGGTCAGCATCCGAGTACCTTACCCACTAAACCACCGCGGCGGGGCCATTGCGTAATAGGGCGCATTAGGGGGGGGGGACATTACAATGAAAATTATTCTTTTTGTTATTTATGAAGATCAAGTGATGAAATTTGGCATGCAGATGTCATTTGGGTTGCTGATATCATAACTGAGATCTGTTTTCAGCTGTCTAATATAGTTTTTTAAGTTACAATACTTGATTAGACTCTCTTTGTCATCCCAAAATTAATTAATTAATTGGACAGTGAGTTTGTCAAAATTTTTGCACAAGGATATTCACAAGGGCCCATTCTGTGCTGTAATGTTATTGATTTATTTGTTAATATGCAAGGAAGCACAAAAAAATTTTGAAATGTCCTGGGCATAATGTTCTGCTAACAACCTTTACAAAAAGCTAATTATAAAAATCTTTGTGATGTGCACGCAAATAGGTTACAGTTTTATGACACTCACTAATGTCTCAGAATCTCAGTCCAGAAAATGGAATGGCTCTATTTTAATTTCTTGCGAAATGGCAGAGGGATGACTGAAAGCAACTGCTAGAAAAATGAAAACTGAGAAAATGGAGCTCAAAGAAATTGGAGCTAGAAGCTAAGAAAACGGAACTTAGAAGGGAGCCGGTTTTAGTTTTTATTGACAAATGCAGCATTGTGGCTATCTTCAGCTTTGATCTGTCCTCTTTACAGTGATGCCAATATGCTGGCACTGTGCCAGGTAAACGCTGCAGATTTGTATTTTTTAAAGCTAAATTTTCTTATATCATTTGACGACAGCCTACCAGTAAAATGCTTTTTTCTCAATGTCTGCTTCTTATTTTGGTCTAATATTTTACCATAATGAAAACATGGTCTCAAGATGGCAGAAAAAAAAAAAAACATGAATAATAGAATGGAACATTTTGACCAAATTTACCACTCCCATTTACCGTCCCCCCTTAAGTTAGCTTGCACCAAACTTCAAAGGAGCTGCTCGAATGCGCTCGATTGTGCCGCCTTCAGAGCTTAGCGTAACTGTAAGTTCTGCCGACTTCTTTTAGGTGCTCGAAAGCTTTACATGGCGAACGTTACATTGATTCCGTAATAGGAACGAGTGGTGAAGGGGAATGCACTTCATCATAGGAGAGAGTTGGAAACATGTCGTATCATCCAAAAGGCGTTGCAGGTGCGAGCTCTCATGCAGTCTCGTGTGCACCATTTCAGGGTTAGAACGCATAGAGTATGCGCCGTAACTACACATTGGAAGTTGCTCTATAACTGTTAAGTTTACAAAAGCTGTGGCGGTCGCGTTTACTTTACAAAAGCCAGCTTGTACGCGCTCAAGCTTTTTCAGTTAACGCGCTCATAGACTCAAGTTTCACGTCATTGGCTGATTCAAGCACGGCATGCTTGGGAGTGATATCGCCCACTGTGAGAGGCTGCAACGTGTCGCCGCGCTCGATTGTGAAGTTCAGTTTCCTTTCACACAGAGGCGGAAGCCGTGGTTAAAAGCTGGAGTGCCTGACAAAGGCCTTGGCACCCTTGTACAGCCTGACATTAATAAATGCAAGCTCATAATTGCAATGTTAGCTGCACTTGCCAATGTAACACAATGCTGCTGTTAAGTATGCAGCATGGGCAAAATACGAAGCATCATGAAGCAACACAAAGTGATAAAATGTAAAAAAATGTTACACAGTACGAATCAGATTTGAGTAAATGTTTCTTTGTTTGCTTGTTGAATAATTTTAATGCAACATCGAAATCGACATTCATCGACATTTTATTATTAGCTACGGTTACCTGATAATTCAATTTTTGTTTGCCATAGTTTGTGCTACATCTTAGAGATCCAGTGGATTTGTTTTTAAAAGCGGTGTGCATCGTTAAACAAAGTACAGCTCTGAGTGTATAGTTGATTGCTCTTAATATACTGCAATAGTCAAAAAAGGTAGACTTGGACTGAAAAGCTGCGTGTTCAATAAAAAAAATAATTAAAGAAAGAAAAAGTGTCCGATGTTACAAGGTGCTTGTGATGTACCTTCTTCTCTTGTGCCATCTCTCTCTGCTTAGCTTTCAGTGTTTTTGTCCGGATGAGAGAAGAGAGAAAGAAATTACAACGTGCAGGAATTCTTTATACCTAACTCCGCTCGTACTGAACGAATTCTAAAAATTTTTGTGGCAGTCAACTCGTGATGCTACAAGCTCCTTTAGGTAAGCCATTTCATGGTTACTTGAAGAAGTGTTGCAGGGCCCCCATTACACACTCACATTGTTGTGCCTAGAGATTTTGTATTATGGGTTTACCTAGTAATTATATCATTTTAGGTGATCAATGAAGTTGTGCTTTGTAGCTTTGAAATATTATTAAGCATTCATGGGACTGAGCTTGTGAGTCTTGAAGCATTTTTTATAGCAATTTTTTCACAGTTGTTGCAGAAATAGCCATTTTGAGTAAGATGTGATGGCAATAAAAATAGCTTTTTATACACTGCTAATTTGTATTGTGAACCATAATTAGCTAATACAGGAATTTTCAATTATTTTCTGACTATCGGGGACCGCTTGGTCTGCTCATATTTTACTGTATGATATTAGACATTGAAATGGTGCCACGACTGAAACAACACCACATTCCGAGCTGTTTAAGCTATCTATATTCCTGTTATCATTTTTACATATCAATAACCCTATCAGCTTTGTCACAAGGGTAACTGCCTGGTAAATAATTAGCAGCTTACTGTTTGTCTGATGCTGTGGCAGAAATTATATTTGAAGGGGTGTTTCTCTCATTTGTTTTATTGAAGGCTCAAATGTATGTGTTCTAGTGCTTATGTCCATTATGTTGCACTGATGGTATACTGTGAACTCACCTTTGTGCAGGTTCCCATGTCTCTGTACTGGTGCTGAGCCTTTGATGAGGGTGTGCCTGACAGCCGAGTACGACACCATCATGCAGTACTCTGCTGAGGTGTACCCAACTGTTCTCAGAGGTCGCGGCTTGGCGTTACTACGCTTTGCCGGCACCCTCAGTCTCTACGTTAGCCCACCTATCGTCTACTTGGTATGTGGTGGGCGCAACGTTTCACGTTCACCTGCTTTAGGACTGGTGTGGCCATTGCACAGTTTGTCACCGAAGAAAAGAAGCTTTCTGTTTAGTTAATGTTGTTTTTCAATACAACAGACTGCTTCTGCTTAGTGATTAGAATAAAGAGTGTTTTATTTAATGACACCAGCTGTCATGCGGCAACTTAACTGTATTCTGATTTGAGGTGCATAATGATGCATTATGACTAATTTGTGCCATGGAGGACTTGCAGCACAGTGGATAACTAGGGCACTCAGATATAGTCAGATATATTGTTTGGCGAAAATAAGGCTGGGTGCTATATTGAAGTTAAGAGAACATGCAGTATTTTTCAGAAGAGCAATGACTTTACTGCTTTTGCACTAGCTCTGCAGCAGCGAAATACCAATTAGTGAGTAGTTTACCATCCTTGTGAATGACTTAACATCGGAAGGTCATTCTTATTTGGACTGTCTGAAATGACTAAATTCAAAATTTATGCTCATTTGTTTAATTTGTGTTGCATAAGCACAAATGACTGGTAGGCATGACTCTTTTTGCTGATATTTGCTGGGATGTGCTCATAGTTGTAAGTTTTCAGCAAACATTGCTTAATAACATTTTCGAGCGTCACTTGGCCATTTCATCTACAATAAGTGTGAAACAGTTGTCTGGGGCAATGCTGCACATTTATTTCTTGTTTTATTTGTTTCAATAGAAAAATGACCCAACTGTCGCAGCTACATAAAAAAGATACGGTGCTCACCACAGCTGTAGTGGATAGAAGTGCTGTTCTGTTGCGTTAGAGCCAATGTGTTTTGAGTAGCATCACATCAGGCGATGCCCTCTTCGGATTTTTTATTTACAAAAGAGAATGTCAGCCGGGTAGCTGCTTACCTAGAAACGCAACGTGAATACCCAGTGCTTTTTTATTTAATTGAGAATAGTGCATGTTATAACAAACAGTTTCTTTCTTGAGGACTATGTCGCTAGAATGGAGAATAGTGAGCTATGTCTCAACAGACTTTTTGACTTCAGTGTGTTGTGACATAATGGCATTAATTTATGGCTATATCCCTCAAGCAGTTATGTTGATGTTTAGCAACTTTGACTGAGCTTGAGCTGTGCATACTGTCTGGAGATTCCTGTCGACGCTGCGTTTTCGTGTGTCGTGCAGTCTCGCCTGGACCCCACATACCCAATGCTCATCACTGGCGTCATGTCTCTGGTTTTGAGTATCCTCTCCTTGTTCCTACCTGAAACCAAAGGCAAGCACATGCCTCAGACGCTGCAAGACGGAGAGCTTTTTGGAGCAGACCAGCGTATCTTGGATTTTCCTTGCCTCGGTGACAAAGGGTTAGTGTCTCGTTATTATTTTTCTTTTCTTGCTTTTAAGGATGTTTGATCGTTTATGGCTAATGGTTGAGGTTTTATGCTGTTCTCATTTGATTTTTCTGGTTTAAAAAGTCATTTTTAAAGGAGGAAGAAAGATGGATTCCAAATTTTATGTGTATAAATTTTATGTGTCTTGTGAAAAGTTACATATGCACTTAGCCCCTCCTCTTTCATTTGATAGTTTGATCAGCACATGGAAGTTTTATAGAAGCCAAAATTACTCCCTGAAAGCTTAATAGCTGGAACATGAAGTACAAGTAGACTTGAAAACATTTCATTGGAATTCAAATTAAGACTAGTCATGCTTCTGTCCTTGCTGTGCTTGGGATGTTTACAATGTAATGCAGCATGTGCAGCTTGCCATGACGATTGGAAATCACTTCATCTTCTGAGTTTCAGAGGCGCAGAAGTATTGATATAATTTTTTGGTTAGCAGCACAAAATGTTTAGATTTAGATGCTTGTTGCCATTGGTGTTTGTTGTCATTCAGGCATTGAGTGCAAAAGAATGTGATGTGGTAATCACGTGAAACTTGATGCTGTGCATATTTATGCTGTACAACAGCACATGCGCTTATTCAGAAAGGTAATCATTTAAGTAATCATTTGGTATTTAGGTAATTATTTAGGTATTTAGGTAATCATTTGACCTTCGAAGGTAAAATTTGGCCAACAGCATTATTTCAATCTAGACTGGTTATGAATCGGCTTAGTGAGGTTTGCCCTATATCATTGCAGTTGGCCTTAACTTAGCCGTTCTTTAAAAATCACAAAGCTCTAGAGGCTAATTCAGGCTACACAAGAATTCGCTTGGTGTGGTTACTGCGCAGCTTTAGAGGTGTGTGTCAGGAAAGTGGAAAAAAAATTCTTCCTGGATGTATTGAAGTCCAATACTGTTTGTGAAAAGCTCCGTTCAGTATTAATACCCTTTAAATTTTTTTTTTCTTTGCAGCGAGCCAACGCGTTGTGATTCACCCAATGCATCTGCTGCAGTGAGCTGCTAGGCATCGTCGATCTACAATTTTAATCTACAAATGCTCGGCACAATCAGCATCAGACTGGGTCATTAGCAGGTTTAGTTTTGTTGTTGTGAGGAAAACACTCAAAGGTCAGAAAAAGTAGCTTATTTCATAATTTTTTATGAAACTCGCGGTCGTTTCATATTGTTGATTACATTCACAATTCAACTATGAGCTAGCGAGTGATGCCTTGGTATTTTTTTTATGTCCAGCAACAATTGTACATTTTCTACCAGGTAAGATGGTGCGTAAGTGTGTCTGTAATATTTCTCTTTGACTTGTAATATTGTAGTCAACAGTTTTTCAGGATGTTCTCTCTGAGATTGAGTTGAATGCTTCTGCAGCCTGCATTCTACCTGGAACTACTGATATATGTGACCATATTGTTTTGTTGTTTTACTGGCCACAAGCACACATTGCATTATAGGATGTCTTTCACAGAATCCATTGCCCATCCTTATATATGACTTCTTACGCTATGAAATGTGATTTAGTGAACAGAACTTGCATATGTATGCTACTTCGTGCAAGGTTAGCCCAAAGTACAGACAAACATTTAGTGTATATTGTAGAAAGTTACTTGCAAATCATTGCTGAAGAAGCCTTATATTTGGTCTATTGACAAAGTGATGAAAGCTTTATTAGCTTTGTAGGAACGGAAGTGCCTTATAAAAGAGCTTTTTTTTTGCCTACTACGAAGTGGTTGTAATCACCAGGGGCATAGACACATAATTTGTAGTTGGTAAGTAAAAATGGACCCTATAAGCTTTGATTACAATATTTTAGTGTTCACTTTAAAAAAGACACTTATTAAGGAAGCATGTACTTAAGAAAGTACTTTTGCAAATTCTATACCGGTAAAAATGTGTGCTTACCACAATCCTGTAGGATGGCGCTTGCTTAGTCACAGCACAGTCAGCTGTGAGATGGGAGCCTTGAATTTGCGCATATTTCTTCGTAATGGCTAGTTGCAATTTGTACAATGTAATCTTTTACATTAACTTATTGATCATGCATTTATATAATGTCAGTGTTGTACTTTATGCCAAAGGCTCACGCTGTAGTGCAAGTGACCAAAAGTGTCTACCGATTTTTGGTGGTCTTGTCTGTCATTACTATTGTCAGATAATATAACGTAGGAAGCCTTGCCGTAACTTACCTGTCTTGGTCATGCCCAGTTGCCACAATCGGTTCACAATGTACCAGTGCCACAGTTCATGAAGGGGCAAGTAAGCAGGCAGTAACGCCACCTTTGCAACTCGTCTTCACACATTCACATTTACTGGCTTGAGACAATGTAATATCCATCTTTGCTTTTCATGCGCAATGACTGTGCACGTAATACCGAGTGTATGACACGCAACATGTGGGGATCATGGGTCAGGTTTAGCTCTGGTAGTTGCGTTGTCTTCAGCGCGTTACGTGTACTAACCATTCCTTCACTTTTCTTTCATCCTGATGCAAAGCATCAAGAAAGTTGATATACTGAAGCACTATGCCGATTCTGTGTCTTCTCTCTTGTTCTTGTGGCTTGGTTTACAAATGCATATTTGGCGTCCGCCACAGTGGAGCAGCAGTGATGGTGCTTGACAGCTGACCCGGAGAGTGCAGGCTTGATCCCGGCTGCGGTGGTCGCGTTTCAGTGGAGGGTGAATACTTAAGGTCCATGTAATGTGCGATTTCAGCACTCGTTAATGGTCTAAATTTCCGTAGCCCTCCACTACGGCATCCCTCATAATCCTGTTGTAGTTTTGGCTTGTTAAATTAGAGGTATCATTATTAAAATTATGTCAGGTAAAGGGACTAGAAGTTCCACAGTCACGCCTTTTTTGCCTCATCAGCTTCTAAATGCTAGAGGGAAAGTAGCTCTCTTTGGGACAAGCCCGCAAATGCACGGGCCTATGCAGGCAGCTTCTTCCCGTGAAATCATCAACAGAAGGTACATGCAACTATTCTTGCAGCCTGGTTCTAGGCTCAGATGATGGATGAACGCAAACCTCTCTGCTGTGATACTCCTCGTTGCAGTGCAGTGAAAGCTAAAAATTGTGTTTTACTAGCGAAGTTACATTAGCTTCTGTAAATAGTGCTTACTATCATGTAACTTTGGTAGCCACATTAGATATGAAGCGTGTTTCAAAAATGCACATTTTGAAAGATTGCCTGGTTATTTTTATTATTGCTTCTAGTGTAGCCAATATCTCTTTCCAAGCTGGTTGTTTCTGAGACTGATCATTTTGTATTGCTTGAATTATGTAGCAAACTTAGATCACCGCCGCTCTGAGTCTGACCAACCTGCTCCTCTCTCCCAACTTTTGCATACTGCATTGTTGGGCATTAGAAAGTCTGCTCACAAGCTTTTTCTGAGATGCAATCAAGTTCTTACGTGGCATATCCTGCACATTGCATATGTTGTGAATTGTCATAGATTTAGTCAAGTGGTTAATGATCATTTGTCTTGTAAAAGTGCCTGTAACGTGTAAGTGCAACTGAGCACAATATTTATGGCTATATGCTCTAAATGGTTTGTGCTATTTGCACGTAGCCAGTGACCTGTAGCTACGAATGTTAGTCCACGTTAATTGAGTGTATACATGACGTTATTGTGGAACTCCTAATGTTACTTACGCATTACACACTGCTTCAGTAACAAATTCTCAAGCAACATCTTTTGCATTAATCACCCAACTGTGGGTGCGAAATTCGTTTTGAAGATCAACCAACTTGAGCTGAGATCTATGGATTAGCACATTTTTTGTTTATTTCTTATTTGTGTAGGATGTGAAAGTGCCAGCAGGCTGTTAGGCAAAAGACACGTCAAGGCTTTAAAATGCAAGGTTATGGTGATAACACCATTGCTTCGGTAAAGTCCTGGCTTTCAATAATGCGAGTGAATTATATGGCATTTATAGCAATCATGCTGAGCCTTTGCACATGTGCAGCCGTCTGGGCATGTAAACTGTAATTAAATTATAAATCTTGGTGAAAAGGATTGTCAGCTCTCTGTAGCTGGCTGTTAAAACCAAAGCTACGCATACAGTCGACTTCCGTCAATACGAAGTTCACAGGAACCGCAAAAACGTCTAATTAATCAAACTTCCAACTAAGCAAAATGCACAAGAAACTGCACTTTTATTGCTTCAAACCTGACAGTTCTCTAAGAAAATAGTCTATGATATATTTTGTTGCCAAACCTGGCTGCGGCTAGCAAGTTTCCCAAGCACTACACATGTTGAAGTGCTTCTTCAGCATTGTCTTCTTTAAAAAGACATGAAACGCAGTATAAGAGCAACACCCGCAGCAACACTGGTAGTACTGGGTGGCAGTTCATTTCTGTGTCATCGTCCACTAGCCAAACCACCTGCACAATTTTTCTGTCTATTAGTGGACCGCATGTATCGACATTGTTGTCACGACAACACATTTTTTAATACGGACGGGGTTAAGGATGGCCCCAAAAGTAGCAGTTGTCGAGTTCACCTGTTCGCACTTTATGAAATTTGTGAGCAAGTTAGGCTTAACGCCGTACTTTTGTGCGATGTCTTGCTTGGCGGTGCCTCCCTGGTCAACTTCTTTCAAGACTTTTGACTCAAGGTCAAGTGTTCGGTAGGGGCCGCAAGTTGCCATTATCAAATGTCGCCACCACAATACTCAAAGTCAGCTGTTGAAACACGTGCGGAATCAACCCACAGGGCGTTGGCGGGCTAGTTGGTTTACCATGCTATGTTTGAACAGCCCAACTGGACGCAGACGAAGCAGGACACATAAACACACACAGAGCTCTGTGTGCGTTGGGACTTCTTTTCCACCAGCGTCCAGTCACGCTGTTCTAACTCAACCAGACTTCAACGAAGCACGCGGCTGAAGTACGTGACCACCACTCAACACATCACAACAAAAGACCTGGTTAGCTGATGCAATTAATGCGATACCCTGGCGTTCACTAAACAAGATCGCCGCTTCATGAACTGTGATGCTGCGGGCAGTGGCGATGGCGGCAACAGCGCAGTACAACAGCTGTCTTGGCACATGAAGAACTCCCCATTTTATTCAAAAATTAGTGGTCACTTCGAGGATCTCAACTGAAAATAACATTCTAATTAACCAACATTACGGGCTTTTAACTTCGAATGATCGAGCATTTTTTTCCCATAGGCATGCATGCAAAATTGATGAGACCACTTGTGACTTTTAATTAACCAAAACTTCAATTAAGTGACTTCGTATTATCGGGAAATCGACTGTACTATGTTGCGTCACAATTACATTTTTGGGACTGCACGCTGCTTAAAATCAGTGTGCAGTAGCAAAACAATTTCTAAAACAAGTATAACTTTTCAGCAATGCATGCTTGATTTTTGTAGAAGGTGTAGAAGCAAAAATCCTTCCTATTTTATCAGTTTGCTTGAGTGCTGATACACACTCTTGCTGAGCTTACTATAACAAAGAAGAATGAGCTTTTTTGCGAAGCTGAATGTTTATAGTCACTTCAAATTTTGGTGAGAAAGTGACCGTTTCAAAGTTTGAGCAGCTAACTATACACTCTCCAGTATGCTGTGATTACAATCATTTATTTCTGGATTAGCTAATACTTTCACTTGTGCAAGCTTTTACTAATGGCTATTATATATTAGCTATTGATGGATTAATGTGCTGGTACACTTTGCATCATTGCAATATGCCAAATTCCGAACTTAAATATGAGCTGGGTATGTCCACAAATAAATGCGATTCGACTGCGAAGAAACAATGAAGAAAGATTTGCTGGACGGATGTACTAGTGTATTCTTGCAATTCATTCTCACCTGGTTCAACTTCCAGCCATCTGTGTTTTAAGTTCAGTATGAATATGTAGTGCATTGGGTACCCTGAGTGTTGCAGAGTGAGCCAGTGAAAGCAAGCACTTGAATCTCCTTGTAATCATTGGTCAGCTGTGTTATTTGTTGATGTTGTGATTGTCATTTGTTACCAATGAAGTGGAAAAAAAAGTGCCTCACATGGAATACGTGTTCTTAGTTCAGCTAGAACAGGCGTGATTTTCGCTATCTCAGGACGCACTTAAGCATTGCCTTTACGCAACGTGAGAAGTGCTCTGTGGTATTGTTATCCACACATATCCAAAGAAATGAAGGTAATCACCATTAGAAGTGAACAAAATGCTGCAACAAAGAACCTGCCTCGTTTGTTTCCACATAAAATTTGCACATACATGATCTCTGGCTTAGTTTCCAGCATACATAATCTTGTGTAACCCTGTATGTGATAGTGAAGTTCTCGGTGACCTGCTGGTATGCATTTTTACACTGCATGCTTCAATGCTAACAAGTTCTCAAGCGAACCCTTTTAGTTCAATAATTGCTTTGGTACTCTTTGCCTGTGTCAGATTCTTTGAAGTTGTCAAATGTTTTGTGATTGGAAGTAAAACTATGAAAAGGTTCCTTGTATATGGCCGTCTTTCTCCTTGTTCTTTACAATATTTGTTTACATCCTAGGGAAACTTGACTCCAGCTTTAACACTACAGACATATTATAGCAATTGAAACTCTTTACTGGTCAGCTGTACGATACCTCTGTGAATACTATGTCTTCATTAAAAAGAATGCAATGCAACATCTTCATTATGAAGAAGTGTAGTGGTTGATAAAGCATTTTCTCACCCTTCAAAATTGCAGTTGACGAATTCAAAGCAAGGTTACAAGTGATGCTGTACTAGAGTTATGGAATTAGGTTGATCATGCAGTTCTTTAACTCGTCCCTAAAAACTTATTTGTACGTATTCTTGCATTTTGCTTCTATTTTGATACAAATACTTTAGCTCGGTATTACCAAGCTTGTGCTTTGCAGAACAGTACTGCAGCTACCAAGATGCTGCAGGGAATGTTTATGTGGTCAAAAGCTGCGTAGACTCTACCAAACAGGTGTTGTAGGCAGAACTGCAACTCCTTTTTGCTTTTAGGGCTGCCCATAAGTCAGCTGTGATGATCTTAAGCTTTCATTACATATTATACTGGGTATACATTAGCGTCTCTAAGGTGTTTGTGTATGCAGTTTTGAAGTTGAAGTCTTGGGTCCCTCTTTCTCCTAAAACTGCTACCAGCAAAAGGGGAGGAAACGTATTGCAAGAAAAGGGGAAGTCATAAGTTTTCATAAAATGTGTTCATAATTCTCACCTCGCCGACTTATACACGAAAATTCTACTTATTCTTCAAACATTCTATTTGCACATCTGCTGTGGGCACCATGTGGTTCATTACGGGAATGCTCTGTCATCCTTGTTTATGATCTAATAGCTGATCGCAATGCCCATGCTTATCGTATGAAGAGAACCAACAACTATTGTGCAGAATAGTATCCCATACAACGTAACATGTACCGCATGTCGGTCGACAGTTAAAGTCAGCGTGACGGCTCTGGAGAATACAGAAGAAGGATGGAGTAAAAAGCCACCTTTCGACTGAAACTTACTCAGCTAGCGTGAACATAGAAAAACAAGGCTGAGCATACATATCCATCGGTTTCAACTCGCCCATCTTTCAACCTTGCTTCAACTTACAGTCTATGCGTGGATATAGTCCATGAGAAACCTTTCTCATAATTTATTGTAACCTAAAAGCTGCTATATGGATATTACATGATAACTGAGGAGATGGGAGAACACACACAAAATTAGAACAACATACATGTGCTTGCAGTTGCAGTTCAGCTAAAACAATGCACCTTCAGCAGTAGCCTTGCTTCGTTCTGTTTTGTTTTTCTGAAAAACTAAACTGTACCTCATAAGTGACACCAGGTGGTACGGCAACCAACATTCACTGCTGTTGGTCTTCTCTCGTACAATGAGGTGCGTAACATAAGGCCAGCGGACCTTCATTGTCTACATTGCACACTTTGTAAATGTTTGTGTTAGTGCACACAAGTATACTGTGTATTTCGCTCTGCACATTGTGGTACTTCACAGGACCAGCCAGTCCCTCGAATTGGTGTCTCCGTGTGTCGCTGCGCTTCCCGGCGGCAGTGCTCCCTGTTGCCAGTGAGTTGAGGCCGTGGTCGCGGCCATTTTGGCCCTCAGCAGCGCCTGCAAGTGCGTCCACTGCTCGGTCTGTGCTCGCAGTGAGGCCTGCTTCTCGCGCAGCTCCTTCTGGCGCTCCCGCAGGGCCTTGCCCCGCTTCTCCTGCTCGGCGATCTCGTGGCCCAGCTTGGCTCTGCGCGAGTGTGGCATTTGTGCGCACTGTTCCAAGTTGGTGCGGTTTTAGAAAAAGACGTGGATATACACAGTGAAATCTCATTAAATCGATCTTCGCAGGAACCGAAAACTGAAAGTGTCGTTGAAATCTTATTCTATCTACGAAGCACGGTATCGTCGCAAGAGCGAAGCTACGAACGCGATATGAAAATGTGCTAGAAGCTCACTCCTTTAGTATGCGACAAGGCGTAACTCTTAAGGAAACGTGGCCGCTACAGCGAGCGAAGTGAGGTTTGCTCTTTTGCTCTGTCTATAGCCTCAGCGCAAGCTTTGCGATGAAAAAATACGTACAAAGATATGAGCCGTATGCTGATCTCGATAAAGATACGTTGCGCACGACAGCAGACGACCACGCATGGCTAGTCAAATTACGCTGTTCCAGCCGAAATTGCACAGCCCCCCCCCCCTCCCTTTCGCAACTCTTCATGCGCCGTATCGCACGACTGAAACGGCTGGCGTTTCCTTTCCGCTTGAGCCGCCATTGTTGGCATCCCTTCGCACTTTCACTTGCACGTAACACATATGACGCGCAGGGTGATATTTTCAGATTTGTACTTTTATTTGGAACCTTACGCGGTGACGCCGACGGCAAGAATGCGCCTGGTGGGTCAATATCATTGTGTGAAATATAAAGAAAACCCTACATTGCGTGTGCATAGGGAGCCAGAGAAAGCAGTCTTCTCGTCAAAGTTGTTGCCCTTCCCGCGGGAGTACTGCTTTACCTGCATCAGCGCGTATAGAATTTATGTTGTCTCCCTACACTCTCTTAGAATACCCTCTCCTCAGGGGCGTGGTTGACTGGAAAGAGTAATATCACAAGGTTGAGGTTCGATTGCTTCGCGCGTGCGATGGGCGCTATTTTGTTCGTGTTGCGTAGCCGCTAGCGTGACGTGGGTTGTTCGGCGTGTGGATCACATAAAAAAATTCTAACAGGTGGATCCAGAGCCAATTCGGAACACACAGCTGTCTCGACAGGGATGGCCCATAACTCGGAATGATGGTTGAGAAGTTGAGGCAGTCCCTCGAAATTCGGGAAGGGTGCAACCCCCATTCCGATAGTATGGCCACCTGTAAAGCGTGCACTGCCTCAAGCAGACTCGTACTGCAGTGAAGCAACATTACGCACATGTTACGGCGGGTTGTTTATACAGTGCCTATTTTACTTTCTTTTTTCGTACTTTCTAGCACTAGAAAAAACTGATGGGAGCTTAGCCCAATATGCTTCACAGCAACTCTGTAATCGAACCATGTACCTATCGCACTGAAGGAGCGCGGATGTGCTATTACATGACTATACGGTGCAGTGAGCGCCTTTCCCCGTTTCGAGCAGTGGCAGTGAGGAGGATAGGAGTGTGTTCAATTCTTAGTGCCGTCGGGACCGGGAGGTGGTGTAGGGGTACCCTGGCCTGTTGGTCGGTGTGGGAAGTCGTATCCCGAGAAGTTGGCCTCTCCTTTATAGCACTGTTATTTCACTAATAGCGACGCTGCGCAATGCTTCTTCGTGGGTTGCAGAAATAAGCGTCCTGAAACCACCACTGCAACTACGATGGGAATCGTGGTACCTCGCCCTCAAACCGCTATCAGAAGTATGGCCTTCGCTTTCAACAACTGCGTTCAATTGCGCCTCTAAAGGCACTATACAACACGCGCATGATGAACACACTCTACTTATAGCCACGTATATCGCTACTTGAGACGCACTGCGCGTCGTGGATCTCTTCGATGAGAAACTACGCTCTGAAAACAGAACTTTATCTAGTTATATATCTTCTTTCTGTGTGACCACTGCTGCTAATAATGCATCTACTTAATAATATAGCTTTATTTAGCGAGAGGGGACCGATTAAATGTTATCTTATTTTCGGCCGGGAACTTAATTACGAGATGGCGTCTATATAAGGTAATATTGTGCGCGTAGTTTGATGATTACGTTCTAGTCGCTGTTCATAGGATGGAAAACGCAAATGCAGGCGTATGGGAAAACCTGCAGGTCTGGTTCTATTGTCGATTTCTTTCTTCCTCACCGGCGTTCGTTTTAGGCGCCCTGGTGAATATGTGTTCACCCTACCTGAGTGAAGTCTGGCCGTCAGAACCGGCGTCGGCTGCTGCGGGGTTTCCAAGCACACCATTAGCCTTGAGGAAGTTCAGCTGCACTTCGTGTATCCGAAGGCTGTGCTGGAGGAAGTTCAACTTTGACTCCTCGCTGTTCAGTTCACTTCGGAGGCTGGACACTTCCTGGCGCGCAATAAAGAAATATTTCCGTCAATAAAATTACGTGTGCATAGTCTCGCAGGACGTACAACAGCGAATGCCTTGTCAACTCTAACAATGCGCTTCACCCTCCGCGTTAGTCTGTTGGTTATTGGTGCTTCACTGCTGACCCGAAGGTTGCGGGGTCGAATCTCTGTCATGGCGCCGCATTTCGATGGAGGCGCTAATGCTGGAGGCCCGCGGGCTTAGAAATAGGTGCACGTTAAAGAACACCAGTTAGTCGAAATTGCAGGAGCCTTCCACTATGTCGTCTCCCATAACCATATCGTGATATTGGGACGTAGGCTCCAGCAATTATTATGCCCTTCTGCCATCCTCAGCAAATTGCCACGAAAGAGTGAATATGAGAAGGCTGCGTGGCTAGCAATCTTGGGGTCTACGAAATGCGTTCTCTAAATGACACATCAACATTATTAGATTTCATAGCCAATGAAGTCGAGAGCCAATACGCTGCCTATGTAATTGATTAGTAATACACTGCGCTTCAGTCGCACACTTGTAGTTGAGTGTGCGCCCTTATAGTCTACCCACGGCGGTTGACTGAATAAGCTGTACAAGTAATATATGCGGGATATCCCAATAGCTAAGTTGGCTCCGACTGCAGGAAATGCATTTCTGATTACTTGTTAGAGAACTCGACTGCTGCCATATGGCTACGCTGCGTAGGTGACTCCTGTAGGCGACCTCTATAAATGCTGCGTTATGTTATCTTACAAATAAACGCACAACATTTTTCAACTGTTGATATAAGCGTAGACTTGTTGCGCAGAATCAAATAGGCATTATGAAGCCATGCTTAAAAATCTGAGGAGAAGCATCGGAAAGGTTTATTCGACGTTTCGACCCGAGTCCGGTATTGATCAGAATGAAAACCAAGCTTCGGTCGAAACGTCCAATAAACCTTTTCTTGTTCTGCTACCGAGAGTCTTTTGCTTATTTACATATCTAAATGGGGGTACATGCACGTGTTCCCAGTACAGCGAACTATATCAGTAGTATTCGGGACTTATTGTCGCTTTCATCATAATGGTATCTCTCGGCTACGAAAGCCTATTGAACTCTAGAAAACGCTCCATGTGCTGGCAACACTGGTTGAAAAAACAAAGATGGCTACGCTTAACAATTTCAACGCCTCCCAGAAAAACCATGCTTGGAACGTCGCTCTGTTTTCAATCGGGAGCTTCCTGCCAGTACGCAATCTGGGAGGCCACGCATCCTGCCGCGTGTTGCGCCCATTTACTGCGTGTGAACGCTAGCCTCCGTAGCGCTCAGTCTCGTGACGTCAGCGCTGCTCGGAGGCAACTGTTAGAGCATTGTTGTGTTCGCAGGGAGTGGACGCCAGGGGCGTTAGCCTTCGTACCGGTGGGGGAGGATAAAATCCGAGGGTAGGGCAGCACGTTCGCGCCTCACGTTCATGTCATCTCTGTGTCAACGCGGTATTTTCCTTGGGCGCTTTGCTGAAGTTTCTTGAATGTGGCGTCGGATCGCGTTGATTCGTCAAAGGCGAAAGGATAGCGGACCGCCTCATTCTCGTCGCCATAAAGAAATTTGCTGGCCGAACAGCGGAAGTAGTGCTGCTCTGCGCGCAAACATCGGGTCTCTTCGGCGAACCGCATCAGATTTACTTCAAGTAGAAAAACCTGTCTAGCGAGCCCGAGGTTGAAGAAGGCAAGTGTTCATGTGTAGCGGGCCTCTCCGGAAGGTGCTAGCACTTTTTCGCTGCGTTGCTACACTGCTGCAGGCAAGGCCGATTTTTGAGGTAACTACGTTGAGACTCTTGCTGCCGAATTCATGTATACAATTGAGTTTACGTTTTCCAGTCAAAATATAAATACGCAGGCCGTTCACCTAATTACAGACCAGAACTATGCCTGGGCCAGTGTACCTTGAGATAAGGCAAATTGTAGCTTCGATTCTAATAGGAGTGTTCCTTGCCCTTTTCGTTCGCAAAACATGCTACGAAGTTTCTACGAATAAGGTCGTGTGCTTCCGAAAACTCGCTTGTTTGTGTTGACAGTAGTTGATAGCCGAAGCATATTGTCACGACGTCAAAACAGAGGTCTTGCCGCGGATATTGAGACACGAGAAGCAGGTCAGTTTTTGATAGAACGCGCAAGCGAGCTCTTTTTTTTCGTCCATATCATAATCTTCATGGCACATGCACAACTGCCATTCGTCTTTCTGGGCAAGCACGTGACATTTGCCTCCCTCCGAAAGAGGCATCGTCCCGATGCGCAACTTGGGTGCTCTACCAGGCGTATGAAGTGTTCGTATCAAAACGGTAACCGGGAGCTAATTAACTCGATAAATATGTTTTCATACGCACAACGTGCACAACTTCAGGTAAATGCTTTTGGTGCTTAGCTACAATCAGTGTCGGGAACAACTTCGTAGTTCACGTCGTTTAAGCGTCGCGTGACGCTGTGTGGGCCAAAGTACCGTCTTAGAATTTTTCAGACAGTCCACGTCGACGTATCGGAATCTATACCCAGACCTTGTCGTCTGGTGTGTAACTAATAACTTGTGTCGGGGGTCATACCGTTGTGCACCTTGATGCTGCTGATGACAGATGCGCACGCGCGCGAGTTGTCTGGCTTCCTCAGTGCGCTGAGTGAATTCTTCGGCGTCTACATGGATGTCGTCACACTCATGCGGCATCATGGCGTCCAACGTTGTCGTGACTTCGCGACCATAGATCAGACTGAACGGCGTCATTCCAGTGGTTTCTTGTCGAGTGGTATTATAGGCAAAAGCCCGTATACGGCAATATCGGATCCCAGTTTTATGTTCCGTGTTAACGTACAGGGTCCTATTAAGGCGCTTCGTCAGTCCGTTTGTCTGCGGATGGTATGCAGCTTTTCTCCGGTGAGCTGTACCCCTGAGTCTGAGAACCGACTCCAAAAGCTCTGCGGTGAAGGCAAGTCCTCTGTCTGTGATCACTGCTGTAGGAGCGCCATGCCGGAGGACGATGCTTTCTATGAAGAACTGAGCGGCTTCTGCTGCTGTGCCGCGCTGCATAGCTTTAGTCTCCGCATAACGGGAGAGGTAATCGGTGGCCACAATAATCCATCTGTTCCCTGTTGTGGAAGTTAAAAAGGGACCCAGGAAATCCATTCCAATATGGGTGAACGGCTTTTCTGCTGCTTCGACTGGATGTAAAAGACCGGCTTGCTTGCTGGGAGGCGCTTTGCGTCTTTGGCAGTTGGTGCAAGTTCGCTCGTGATGGTTAACAGCTGCAGGTAACTTTGGCCAGTGGTACTTGCATCATAGTCGGCACAATGTTCGGGTGTAGCCTAGATGACCAGAAGTTGCTTTATCATGGCACGCTTCCACAATTTCTTTTCGAAGAGAGGCACGCACGACAAGCAAGTGTGGGTTGGCGAGAAGTTTTTCTTATAGAGAACATCGTTTCGCAGGGAAAAAGATGGCAGTCCTCTAGCAAATAACCGCGGCACGTCTTTACGTCGTCCTTCTAAATATTCGATGAGTGGTAACAGCTCAGGGTCACTGGGCTGCTCTCGTGCAATAGTGGCCGTGTTGACAACTCCCAAGAATGCCGCGTCGATGTTTTCGTCACCAGGAGCGACAGTTTCCACTTCTCTTCCCGGTTTATAGATGATGGTCATGTCAACTCTTGAAGCCTTAGGCTCCAGCGCGCCAAACGGCCAGATGGATCTTTAAGGTTGGTGAGCCAGCTCAAAGAGTGATGATCGCTAATACCTTGAAGGAGCGGCTGTACAAATATGGACGAAATTTAATGACCGCCCACACCACGGTGAGACACTCCTTCTCGGTAGTCGAGTAGTTCTCCTCCGTGCGAGAGAGAGTTCTGCCGGCGTGGGCTATTACTCTTTCACAGTCGTCTTGCCACTGCACCAGAACGGCACCTAGATTTACATTGCTGGCGTCAGTGTGAAGTACTGTAGGGGCGTCCTGGTCGAAGTGCGCAAGGACTGGAGGTGTTTGCAGGCGTTGTCGTAGTTGATTTGAATGTCATTTGTTTCTGTTCCTGTATATATGCACGCACATTACGCACGCTACGAATGCACGGACATGACATTGCCACGGTGTCATGACGTCGACGAAGAGAGCATGACTGTAGGTCGAAGATGAAATTGTTTATTTGGCTGAACTTGTAGCCGGTGAACGAAAAGTCGGATTATAGCGATACACATTGGCACTGAAGCGGCGAACAGCGCTGGCCGTTGATCAGCTCACAAGTGGTAAAGCGCGTCGGCATTTATGTATGCGCCGTCGATTATTCCAGCGTTATCACTAACAGCCATATACTTTCCGAAATAACCTGCTGATTGATATGTGGGGTTTAATGTCCCAAAACCAACATGTGATTATGAGAGACGCCGTAGTGGAGGGCTCCGGAAATATCGACCACCTGGTGCTCTTCAACGTGCACGCACTCAAATCTGAGCACACGGGCCTACAGCATTTTCGCCTCCATCAGAAAACGCAGCCGCCGCAGCTGGGATTTCCAGAATAATCTGCAATGTCCGCGTAGTCCGTGTAATCTTAATAAAATACTGCAGTCCTCAAAGCTTCTACAACACTGCAGGCGCGGATTTGCGCTGAGAATTACTAGCAGTGTAACGGGCGATAACAAAACTTGAAGGAATGTGACAATATATATACGCACGAATATACATACACGCACGCTACGCATGCCCATTTATGGGCGTGTATACAAACATATTCGAAATAAAAGAAATGTTTCGGGGTGGGGGGTGGGGAGAGAAGTACAGCAGCTTAATGTGAGAGAAAGTAGTAGTGCGCCTTGCACAGAAAACAAGAATATGCGAAAAATAGTCACACACGTAACGCAACAAATTCTCTAAAGTGCTTGCTTATATAAACGAAGATATATTCCGTGCTTAGAGAAGCCCGAATACTGATGTGATAAGAATGCGCACACGCTAAATAATCGCATACTAATCGATAAGAATTAAGTAGTCGTGAGCGAATTGATTAGAACAAACTACCGCAGTGGCCGTCGCCTTTTTTCATTGCGCTTCTTAGTTGCGTCGTTCTCCGTCGCGCGTCGTCTGCATCCTTCGGGAAATGATGGAGCGATACGTTGCCATTTTTCCACCGCGATGTCACGCATTGCGGCACACTTCCATGGTATTTAGATATCGCTTTCTCTTTTTTTTTTTTTTGGGGGGGGGGGTTGCGTATGCGGCGTGATGAAAATAAAGAAACTAAATGCGGGCCGCGTCTCAACGCGTGCAACGTGGTAACATATGCCCTTTCAAAGTTGACTCTGTTCATAGCCTCTGAGATCCCCCATCTTGAAGGCCATCCCTGTTAATGCCATTTCCAGGCGCGGCCACCAGGTGGTGAGTGCTTAGTTGGAGTGCCGAATATTATCTAATCCCGTGGCGGGATTTGCGTCTCTGTGCGCTTTCAGACGTCCTGTCAGGCAAATATCCGTTGTTAGCTCCTCAGGTCTTTGTCAACGCGAGCGCGCACAGCGAGTCTAATAGACACCCTTTCAGCGTCACTCATGGTTGAGGCGAAAACTCCGTGATTTTGTTTCGACGTAATTATACAAAAATAACATACCTGCTCTAAACTTGTCAGCGTGCTTTCCAAGCCTGCTGCGCATGTGTCGTAGGCTGCTTTCTTTTCTCGTACTCCATTGTCACGTCCTGCGCAAAATATGTGAACCGAGACGTGTAGTGTTAAACTGAAGTATACGCAGATGGTGCTGCGATGGGCCATCATAGTTAACTATGCTTTCACTTCAAAGAGTTTTCATTTCCCTTTGTTTCGATATGACCTCCTCACAAGGGTATGTCACGGGTGCCATGTTGACACGATGGACAGTGTAGGCAACTGCTGATACAGCTTTAAAGCATCCAACTACGTGAAGGCTTGTACGATCCCCAAGCATGTGATCCCGAAGTCCAGAATGGACATATCATTTGTTTCGTGCGAGGTGCATCATGTGTATTTTCGATGCTGAAATCCCGAATGCGTGCAGTTAATCTGTGTAAAGTGCGTCCTACTGTCTAATACTTCACGGTTAGTACTGTTCCAACTTCGCACACTTTGCATGTAGTGTAAAGCACACTGACACGCTGCTAGTATAAAAGTTTTCAACCGAGACGAGGAGCGCCTCCTTTTGGGCTATAAACACGAAGGATGAAGCTCGCTGACGTCGCGACCTCCGCAGTTCATTTCTGGGAGGTCACATAGTTCGCCACCTCTGGCAGGGGAATTATGTCAGCACGCAGAAAGCCTTCGTTGTAAATGTGTGTGGGCAGCGCCTCCGGAGGACGCGCAGGTTTGGGCTAAAGGAAATCTACCTGGTAGGTTTTTCTAAGTGGCCTGAGGTCCTTTATGGCCGGCGCCAGGCGCCCCTTCCTTTCGGCAATTCGCTTGTTGAGGCTGGTCACCATGGTGGACATGTCTTCCAGCGTCGCCATCTTTGTCTCGTCGAGCGCGGCCTCGTTGCCGGACAAGCTTTCCAGGGTTCCCTGTAACCGGTGGTAGCCGCGAACGCCGTGCTTTTCTTCGAGCGCCTCCTGCGAAAACACGCCCGCTGCGGTTAGCGGGGCAACTTCATGGGATTATAAAGAAGTTGCTGACATGTACACTATCTGTTCAATACGCAGCTGACGAATCCACCCAATGAACGACGAATGAGAAGCAGGTGCGAGCTAAACATTTCGTATGCAATGTAATGCGCAAGTTTTTTTGGGGGTCATTTCACGGAAGTGTTGTTTCATACGACACAGAACGTCTTAGAGTAGCATAGAGTAGCAGTTTCACCACGTCAACGCTTGCTAAAGCTAAATAATAGTAGTATTGAGATTTTTCTCTTTGCATCTTTTCGTAGTCGCATCTTGTCAGCGTGTGTGGTGCAGTATACGGGTAAAGCAGATATTATGTAAAAGAAAGGTGCCAGAGAAGTTTATAATAGCAGTGACGTTTCAGTATACACATACATATTTGTTTCCTTGTGTTCGTGGCAGTTGCCGGCTTGCTCTCAATTTCCCCCTTTTCTCTGTGTCCTTGTGTCCTCGCGTATAAAATCAAATAAATAAGCATAAATAATCAAAAACTGCAGTTCCGTGTACGAATACACCAATGAGCGAAACTCCTTAAAAATATTGGTCACATATCTGCATGTTTCACTGCGAATGTCGCCAAAAGATGGTAGTCTTGCGTCCGGAGACAGTGAACAAAAAGTTTATTTGATGCTCTGCGTGAGAAAATGGGTGAATTGTATTCTGAAGGCACTGCGTTAGAGTGCTTCGATCCGTGCAGCGAAGGCGAACGAGCGCATCGAGGCTTGTTAGACACGAGCGCTATCTGGCAGTTATCTTCGAAAACAAAGAAAGGCGAACGTGCGCGCCCGTCTCGGAGGCGATAAGGTGTACAACGCAAAGTGACGGGCAGGTGCCACCACCATGTCGTCTTAGCAAAGCGTTGGAAACACGTGCCTTTTTGAGCATAGCGTTGCATTGTCAGCGCAGCGAGATAAACGCTACGGTTCTTAGAATTACTCATGTATGCCTTCTCTGGTATAAAGACACACATACAAAATACTGACGTGTTATTATAGTGCCTTAGATATGCGCAATAATTGCTTTTAATTTGACAATCGCACAAGTATGAGCACTGAAACTTGAGCAATATTGGTGGTCGCTGCGGATGGGGTTGGCCGTTTGGAATGTTGTTGGGGGCTGTTAGGGTTTTTGTTATGACAGACAAACAGACAAATGTACAGAGAGACAAACCAAAATTTTTGCGTGGAAGTACGCCTAGAAATTTCTACCGTCTTTAATGGGATGCTGACGAGAATGCGCCTGATCTCGCTGCTGGCTTTCATGAAAGTGGTAGAGTGGCGAGCGGATGGGGAGAGCGTCTGCTGCGCTCGATGGCGGGAACGTCTGAGCGAGTGAGTGTGCGGCGCGCGTGGCGCAGCGTGGCGCAGCAAACAACAGGAGCGCGCTCCTGTTGTTCCGCTCGGCGCACTTGCCCGTCGCACAGAGCTTTGATGGCGACAACGAAGTGTGAACCTAAGGAGCTTTGCTTCCAATAAATATCCTCACCGTAGCTTTATTGTAGGGCTAAACAACGCTGGTGTAAAACTGCATGCACGCACATACATACGTACACACGTGCTCACACGGGAAAGTGGAATTTTGACACGAAGACGCAAACTTTGTCTAGTGTCTAGAAATGTTGGCACGAACTCGATCGATCAAATAGCTAAACATTCTGTCGCATTTCTCCCGCTGCGAAAGAATTCGGCGAAGAACAGCCATTGTCACCCTCAGGATCAAACCAAACCACGCACAAAACTGCGGTGGTTATTAGAAGCTGGAAAAAAATTGCTCTGAACGGAGACTCAAGTACCTGCGAGTCTTGCCAGTTCAGTGGCATGAAATAAGAAATCTTAGTTTTGTTTAACAGATCAAAACTGTCAACACATGTGCTCAATTGCGCTCGTTGTGAGAAGTTTTACAAAGCCGTGTGATTGGGAGAATCAAGAAATGTCGAAGCTTTCTAGTTCGGTGGCATGGAACAAAGCTCAAGGTTTGGTGTCCCGTCAGGAAGAATTGCGCCGCCCAAGAAACTGTCATCGGAGTTCATTATACAACACGATTGTCTATATACGGCTAGATGATGTGCTCTCTCTCTCTCTCTCTCTCTCTCTCTCTCTCTCTCTATATATATATATATATATATATATATATGTATATGCGTGGTTTGGGCCGGTTCTTTGGTCCTGCTCTGGTCTCCGACCCGTCAAGTTGGCTTGTCAGAAAAACTGCTTACTCGCTACACAGGTCCATACCAAGTCCTTCGTGTGGTTACTCCTGTGACATATGAAATTGGTTCTGTCGCCCCATCGCCTTCATGTGCCCAACAGGCTACCGATATTGTACATGTTGCGCGCTTGAAGCCCTACCACTCTCCTAGTGACGTTGACATTTAGATGCGCCGAGGCGGCGCTTCTGCCACCGAGGATTATGCTACATGCATACAAATTGAGATTCTAGGGGGCGACGCGTGTGTGTGCCTGACGAGGAAGACGAAGAGTGGTCTCCGCTCGGTGTCTGGTCTACCGGTCACGCCGCTGCTGCTGCTGCTGGTTTGAAATATATTTCATCCACAGCCTCGTTGATACGGCGTCTCTCTTCCGTAACAATATTTTTGACAAAAATACGACCCTAAAGTCTTGGTGGACCCCAGCATAAAACACTTTCGTGATGAAAAGAAAGCGCGACTGTACATAGCTAAAGAAGTCGGAAGACCCCAGCATAATGCTTTCGTGATGAAAAAAAAATTTGTAGTTGTACATAGCTAAAGAAGTCACATTTGCACTGAAAAAATGGTAAGAAATGAATGCAATAGCAACAAAAATTGTATAGCTATATAGAGGGAAGCTGGCAGCTAACTTTTGAATACTGCCTTCCATATTTCTACATGCTGCTGTAAAAGTACAACGCTGCTGTAAGAGTACAGGGCCCCGCAAAAGAGAGCAACACTTTTTGAAGTCTTTCCGCGATGAGACCGCAGTGCATCGAAGTATATGCGAGCTGCCCACTGATGGCTGCCGAGCTAATGCCTTTAGAAGTGAAGTTCACAGTTGCTGCCTGAGTGACTCCCCCCTCCCCATCTCTCCTCATGTCTTTTCATACATGTCCAGGATGGTTGGACCTCTCTGCTTTGACAGCAAGTATCGGGCGATCTTGTTGCATGCACCCTCTGAGCGACAGAGATGGGCCAACTCATTGTGTCTCTTCTTCAGCCACGTTCGTCACTTTAGCTCGCGCATTTACCCACAGTTAGAACATACGATAAGAGGGGCATGTTATTGATTTGGACTTTATATGAGACATGATGGCAATGGTGACAGCAAAAACCCATTGAGTGTCCATATTGCTATTGCACTAAGAAGGTATTCGCACAATTTAGCTTAGTGTTCAAAAAAATGCAGAGTTTAATAAATGCTGATATTGGCATGTGATGTGAAACGAGTTGACATCTGCTGGGAACGTTCTCTCTGACTGCTCCAGATATATTTAAAAGGCCTTTCTGGCTGCTCGAAGCCTGCGCCTAATTGTCTTTCTAGATGCTCCAAGTCAGCTAGCAAAGGCACTTTGGCTGCTCCCAGGACTGCTCTCAAACCCACGTACTCTGTTGCACCCCTGATTTGAGGAAAACAGCAAAAATTATCAAGCTGGAGATGGCACTGCCATGCTTCCATGAAGTAGTTCATACGAGCTGTAAGATAAAGAAGGCACAAAAAAAGAAGCATTGTGCTTGTTTTGTTTTTAAGCCATTATATAAGCTGATGTAAAGTTGCTTGCAATGTCTAGTGTTTGTGCGTGTGGGTGCATGCTCGGTTTGCTTCATTGTGTTGCAGTCTGTGTTAGTTTGAATTTTTGTACCCTTTATCATTAAGTATAATCGTGAAAAGGCCACGGATTATGAAGGCAAGGAGGAAGCTCTATTTGTAGTTTTTATGTGACGATTGTGTGTTTGACCGGTCTGGTTCCATTTCTCTTTAATGACTATCCGTGTGGCATGGTCACATCGAACAGGGAGCGGCATTTTGGTGGAGTTGCCCCGGGGTTCAGGGTGGGGCACCTGAACGGAGTCACCATGGACAATCGGCTGGAAAACCTGGCTTTGGAGCGCCTGCCCTTGACGCCTCACCCGACTGTTGTGCCAGCTACGCCTTTCACGCCCGTGACAGAGTCCCAGCCAAATAAGCAACGCGAGCAGTCTCTATTGGGCTGCCATTCAGCAGCTACCACCAGAGCACCTTGTGGAAGAGGTGTGTTCGCTCACTCCATTGTAGGAGCTCTGTGAAAAGATTGTGCCTCAGTTAAAAAGGGGCGTGTTGGGCTTTATGTTGCTATTTTTTTGCTGTAGTGTGCCATAATGTGCCTCCCATTGACATGCTTTTTCCCTCTACAGGTATCGCCTTGAGTTTTGTGTCACCAAAGAACTAGCACAATTCATTTTCGAGCCATGGTATGTGCACACAATTCTATAGAAAGAGCACGCATGCATTTTTGTTAGGGCACCCACTAAAGAGTTTCCACATGGGATTGTTTTTTTCATTAAGATGAGTGATGTTGAGCATAGGATGGGACGAAATAAAGGGCACAATGACTCTTGAAGTGCAAACTTTTAACAATTTATTGATGAGGGTAAGAGGACCTTTCATATATTTCCAAGGCAGCATTGCAACAGAGCAATTTTCATGGAGCATATGACGGCGGTGGAAATTTGAATACAGTAGAATCTTGGTGATATGATTATGGTTGATGCGAATTTCGCGATGATACGAGTTTTAAGGTTGCTTCAGATGGACTACATTATATAAAATACGCCGTTATTTGGTGTTATATGACTTGTTTCCCCAGTCACCACGGATGATGTGAACACATGATTCATCGCCGCCTGCGAACGGCACAACGCAGCTTGTCCTATGGAAGAAGGCCCGTTCACACTTTCATCTGCATGAAATTTTGCTCAAATTTTTCCAAAGTATGAGGAATTGGGTCACCGTCACTCCTACCTTACTTAGATTGGAAAGTTATTCATAATTCATATGAAAGTGACCATTTTCCAACTCTTTTAATAACAAGACAACGGGATGACCGACCATCTTATCCTAAAAAGTGGAACTTTCATGTTGCAAACTGGGTAAAATTTAGAGAGCTATATACACTACGCCTCGAAGAGGTAGACTGTATGGAAGTAGAAGAGATGGCCCACTATATCTTCAAATATGTTCTTACTTGAGCAAAAAAAGTGCATACCGCAGTCCAGCAATGATAAGGTTAACACAAAGGCATGGTGGAATTGTGAGTGTGAAATTGCTAAAAAACGACAAATCAAAGCATGGAGGACTATTCCAACCGCTACCCAACAGCAGAAAACTTGATAAACTCTAAAAGGTGCAAAGCGAATGGCAGGCGTATTCGCCCTATAGCCAATCGGGAAAGCTGGACAAACTACATATTTTCAATATATTCTTACACAGACGCCAGCAAGGTGTATAATAGGGTGCATAAACTTAAAGGACAAGGCCCAAATCTCTTCTCTTTGGTGAATGACTGCGGTGATACAATAGAAAAACAGGCAAACGCTCTTGGCGAACACTTCGAGAAAATATCAAGCTCAGAAAATTATACCGCTCGGTTCTTGCGCCACAAAAGTATAGCTGAAAGTGTACGTCTATGCCGTAACAAGCCTATATCTCACGGATACAATAAACCACTAACACTACATGAACTAAGACTTTCCCTTGGTTCCTGTGGAAGTTTTGCCCCTGGTTTTGATACAGTTACCTATGAAATGGGAGCAGCGATGGCGTAGTGGTTAGAGCATCCGCCTCGCATGCAAGAGGTCCGTGGTTCAAATCCCGGTACCGCGCAGTTCCCAACCGGATTAAAAAAAAATCCGCGTGTTGATGGAACTGCATTAGGAGGCCTGGGGTGCGGCCTCACCGGCAAACACCGCCGAGAACGCACTCCCTCACCAGAGAAGGATTGGCCACCCTGGTGCAGTATCTGGCCACTACCTCCCACATGCTTACGTCAAATAACTCACGGCCCTCAGTCCCCAGCAGCTGCGAAGCAACTGACCACGGCGGCGGTCAGATCTGCAACGCAGCAGAGGGTGCTAAGAATCTCTGGATCCGGACAGGCCGCCATTGGAACCTGAACTTGGCAACGTTTAACGCTAGAACCTTATCTAGTGAGGGAAGTCTAGCTGTACTATTCGAGGAGCTAGAGGGTGTTAAATGGGATATAATAGGGCTCAGTGAGGTTAGGAGGACAGATGAGGCCTATACGGTGCTACAGAATGGGCACGTCCTTTGCTACAGGGGCTTGGCAGACAGAAGAGAACTGGGAGTGGGGTTCCTAATTCACAGAAACATAGCTGGCAACATAGAGGAATACTATAGCATTAATGAAAGGGTGGCAGGTATTGTAATTAAACTGAATAAAAGATACAAAATGAAGGTAGTACAGGCTTACGCGCCTACATCCAGCCATGATGACGCTTCAGTTGAAAGCTTCTATGAAGACGTGGAATCGGCAATGAGTAAGGTAAAAACACAGTATACTATGGTGATGGGCGACTTTAATGCAAAGGTAGGGAAGAAGCAGGCTGGAGACCAGGCAGTAGGAGATTATGGCATCGGTACTAGAAACGCCAGAGGAGAGCTACTAGTAGAATTCGCAGAACGCAATAATTTACGGATTTTGAATACCTTCTACCAAAAACGAGAAAACCGCAAGTGGACATGGAGGAGCCCTAATGGCGAAAATAAGAACGAAATAGACTTTATAATGAGTGCACACCCTGGAATCGTTAAGGATGTGGAAGTGATTGGCAAGGTACGATGCAGTGACCATAGATTGGTACGGTCTCGAATTCGCCTAGACTTGAAGAAGGAACGACAGAAACTGATACGCAAGAAGCCAATCAATCAGCTAGCACTGAGAGGGAAAGTACAGGAATTCAGAGTGTCGCTGCAGAACAGGTATTCGGCTCTTAGTGAGGAAACCAACCTTAGCGTAGATACAATGAATGATAATCTGACGAGTATCATTACGGAGTGTGCAGTGGAAGTTGGAGGCCGGGTAGTTAGACAGGACACTGGCAAGCTTTCCCAAGAAACGAAAAACCTAATTAAGAAGCGTCAAATCATGAAAGCGTCAAGTACAACAGACAAAATAGAACTGGCAGAGCTTTCGAAGTTGATTAATAGACGTAAGGTATGCGATGTAAGAAGGTATAACATGGAGAGAATTGAACACGCTCTGAAAAACGGAGGAAGTGTCAAAGCATTGAAGAGGAAACTTGGGATAGGCAAAAGTCGGATGTATGCACTAAGGGACAAAGAAGGCAAAATAACTACCAATATGGATAGGATAGTTAAAATAGCGGAGGAGTTTTACAGAGATCTGTACAGTAGCCGAGACAACCACGACCTTAATACTATAAGAACTAGCAGTAACCCAGATTACACCCCACCAGTAATGATAGAAGAAGTCAGCTTTGGAGAGCATGCAAAGGGGCAAAGCTGCTGGTGAGGATCAGGTAACATCAGATTTGCTGAAAGATGGAGGACAGATTGTGTTAGAAAAACTAGCCACCCTGTTTACGAGGTGTCTCCTGACGGGAAGAGTACCAGAGTCTTGGAAGAACGCTAACATCATCTTAATACATAAGAAAGGAGATGACAAGGACTTGAAAAATTACAGGCCGATCAGCTTGCTCTCTGTAGTATACAAGCTATTTACAAAGGTAATTGCTAACAGAGTAAAGAAAACATTAGAATTCAATCAACCAAAGGAACAAGCAGGATTTCGAACAGGCTACTCAACAATTGACCACATTCATACTATCAATCAGGTAATAGAGAAATGCTCAGAGTATAACCAACCACTATACATAGCCTTCATAGATTACGAGAAGGCGTTTGATTCAGTAGAAATATCAGCCGTCATGCAAACACTGCGGAATCAGGGCGTAGATGAAGTGTATACAAACATTCTGGAAGAAATCTACAGGGGATCAACTGCTACCATAGTGCTTCATAAAGAAAGCAACAGAATACCAATCAAGAAGGGTGTACGGCAGGGGGACACAATTTCCCCAATGCTATTTACCGCGTGCTTACACGAGGTTTTCAGAAGCCTAGAATGGGAGCAGTTAGGGATAAGAGTCAATGGAGAATACCTTAGTAACCTGCACTTCGCCGATGACATTACATTGCTGAGTAACTCGGGGGACGAATTGCAACTCATGATTACGGAGTTAGACAAGGAGAGCAGAAAGGTGGGCCTTAAAATTAATCTGCAGAAAACGAAAGTAATGTACAACAACCTCGGCAAGGAGCAGCGCTTCGAGATAGGTAATAGTGCACTTGAAGTTGTAAAAGACTATGTCTACTTAGGGCAGGTAATAACCGCAGAGCCGAACCACGAGATTGAAGTAACTAGAAGAATAAGAATGGGGTGGAGCACATTCGGCAAGCACTCTCAAATTATGACAGGTAGATTGCCACTATCCCTCAAGAGAAAGGTATATAACAGCTGTATCTTGCCGGTACTTAGCTACGGAGCAGAAACCTGGAGACTTACAAAGAGGGTTCAGCTTAAATTGAGGACGACGCAGCGAGCAATGGAAAGAAAAATGGTAGGTGTAACCTTAAGAGACAAGAAGAGAGCAGAGTGGATTAGGGAACAAACGGGGGTTAAGGATATCATAGCTGAAATCAAGATGACGAAATGGACATGGGCAGGGCATGTAGCGCGTAGACAGGATAACCGCTGGTCATTAAGGGTAACTGACTGGATTCCCAGAGAAGGGAAGCGGGTTAGGGGGAGACAGAAGGTTAGGTGGGCAGATGAGATTAAGAAGTTTGCGGGTATAAATTGGCAGCAGCAAGCACAGGACCGGGTTCACTGGCGGAACATGGGAGAGGCCTTTGTCCTGCAGTGGACGTAGTTAGGCTGATGATGATGATGATGATGATATATATATATATATATATATATATATATATATATATATATATATATATATATATATATATATATATATATATATATATATATATATATCAACGTTGTATTAATAAAGCTTCTATTAGACGCCTTTTCAGTCAGATGATGGAATGATATCAAAGCTGGCAATGGAATAATTTTGCCCAGTAAAACAATACAACAGCAAAAAAAATCTGGCGTGTTTTCAGTCGGTTACGGAACTCGAACTTGGGCGCGAACTCATGCGAGACGAGTGATATGTCTTTACGGCAGTGCTTCCAGGGCCAATCTGGAATGAAGCCTTGGTACTGGGAGTAAGTTTCCTTAACTAAGCCGGTCACGTCATAAACCTTGCATGCTGTCAAATGAGATGCACTCAAGTGACGTCATGGTGTCGCGCAAGTTTCGCGCACTCACCAAACTCTGCCTGAGGTCGCGCTCCTTGTGCGTGAGTATCTCCTGTGTCCTGGCCAGCACACCGGTCTCGGCCCTCAGCTCGGCCAGCTCCTGGCGTTGTTGCTTGTACTGGCTGCTCTTGCCGCGCAGAGCGTTCACATACTTCTTAAACTGCAGCGTGGTGAGCAGATGTGCATGTTCATGCATGGGCACCGAGAGCTTCGCGGCTGGCGTCAGTGCATACCTCGTCTCCTTTGAGAACCTGCTCGCCGCCGGCGACCAGAGACTGTTTCTCTTGCAGCTGAGCCTCGAGCTGGGAGACCTGTAGGCGCAGCTCGTTGAGCGTCTCGGCGGCCGCTTCCTTCTTGCGTGCGATTACTGCCGCCTGCGGAGTGAACGAGGACATTATCAAGCACCCAGGTTATGGTGGCTAGACTCTAGCCACCATACCCAGGCACAAGGCCGTCATGTTCACGTTGCCAACCACGTCTTCGTTGGCTGAATCATGCAGCCCTGGCAGATGGTCATCTAAAATTTCAGTGAAACACTAAGCCTATGGACGCAGAGGAACATTACGACGACATGTGCGTGTATTTAGGCGAAAGCCTTAGGCGCCTGATCTAACTGGAAATTTGATTGTCGGCGGCGACCGTCCCACGGCGTTTGGAAAGAGTGATGCAAAATATTATCATGTGATAATGGCATCAAATGACGTCATCATGACGGCACAGATAGCAGAATTTGTGGCGTCATCATGAGATCACAAATTCCTGCGTGACGTAACGCCACACGATGCCGTTGTAGCGCCCTCTTTTGGGGGGTGAACAAAACCGGAGAGCGCGCGATCTCAAGATAAGAAAATGAAGACGGTGCTTGGCAGTGTGGCACGTCAAGGCAACGCTTGCGTTCCGTGCTCCCTTATACTACAGTGTCTAGAATTATACTGGTACTTATACGTCTACTGAGAAGGAAAAAGGAGATTGCTTTCACGCTTGAGTTGTATTTGGTGAATGCGCAAGGGAATGAAGGGTCTGCGTCTGTGGACTAGATGAGCTGCACTGTTCACAGAAAGTTATTACTTCCTTATTTTCGAAAAGTGCTTCGAATATGCTTTAATTTTCTGCACTTGCAACGAGCGATTCTTTCTCGATTTTCGTGATACATGAATACTGCCACCGCCATTCCGTAATAATTCAACTGTGCTTGAAGCAAAATGGCGGAATTCACGCCAAATAACGTATCTATGTACACACATACCTGTTGCCTAAACAGCGTCAGCTTGTCATCAGCTTGTTCTTGACTTCACATCTTCTGCTCATAAAGAGCGTTGATCTCCTGGTTTTCGGTCTGTACCTGTGTCAAAATAACGGCAAACGATTATACAACTGATATTCAGTGCGGGTTAACATACTCGTTGCACGATATATAGGGCACTCTTGCTTCGGACTAGATTAAAGGATGCAATAATCGCGACTGTTGTCAGATCTCATGTTACACGATATCGCCAACACATCTGTGTCGACAGAAATAAATTCATCATCCCCTCAATGTTCTTGCGCTGTCAGAGCCAATTAATTTATATCCAACGACCTTTACGTGCAAAAGGTTATATCCGATTCAGTTTGGACACATTTCAAATGGCCCCGCCGCGGTGGTCTAGTGGCTAAGGTACTCGGCTTCTGACCCGCAGGTCGCGGATCTAATCTCGGCTGCGGCGGCGCAATTTCGATCGAGGCGAAAATGCTGCAGGCCCGTGTGCTCAGATTAGGTTGCACCTTAAAGAACCCCAGGTGGTCGAAATTCCTGGAACCCTGCACTACGGCGTCTTATAATCATATGGTGGTTTTGGGACGTTAAAACCCACGAATCAGTCAAATAAAAATATTGCTTGCACATGGAGATCGTCCTATACGTGCCATCGATGCGTGGTCACATACCTTTGCCTTTAGTCTGTTGATTTCGTTTTGTCCCATCGCTGGTTCAGCGGACACCTTCTGCAGGTCCTTAATGGCGTTCTGACAAACAGTGATTTCCTTGGGCAGCTTGTCTCGCACCAGGTAGCCATTGGCTCGGACCTCTTCCTCCAGCTTTTTCATAAGTCCTTCAAACACATTGAAACATGCCTCGAAAACTTACGAGGTTTTCGGACTTGCACCGAATTTCGTTAGTGTTCCCTAAATACCAAGCCCCAAAATATCCGCGCTTATTGTTTTACTATTTTTACCCTCACTGCTTCTGAAGTACTGTCATAATATTAATTTTATTATGCGTCATGTACTTGCGCATGCTGGCAACTTTTATTTCTCCACTTACACAATTTTACCACAATAGAGGCGCGTTATAGTTGTTCTGTGTAAGACAGATTCTCGTGAATTCAACATCAACCTTTAAAATGCAAGTACAATCATGGCAAAGAATAATCACGATTTTACAAGCTTAAAGGTATTTCAAATCAAAAGTAAGTTACAAAAAAATTGTAGAAATGACGCATTGCTGAAAGTTTAGGGCAAATTCAACCTATTATCGGCCAATCCCCTTCTTTGGGTACGAGCCATTTGCACAGGGAAACAACAACAACAACAAAGGTGGAGAAGCATACCTTCTGGTGTTGCACCGGTTCCCGAATGTTGCAGGTCTCTTAGCTGCTGCGTTAGCCTGTGGATCTTTTGCTCGCAGTGGTTCAACTGCAGTTTAATAGAAAGATGCATCGGTGTGAGTGCCAAATGTGCGCGCATTATTCGACAATGATTTTCTCGACCTATTCCCCCCCCGCCCCTACTCCTTATAAAATGTGCACCAACGTGGGAGAGACCATTTCAGCTATCAATAGTTTGTATATCGTGCAGCTAGATGGCAAGGCCCAATTATGAATGATGCGCTCTGGTCTGAGTTCATGCATGTGCCTAAATACTCTTGCACTTGCTCGCTTTGATTGCTTGGTGCATATGCTTATTGGTTTGCAACAAATATAAGAATTCGGAGTGGCATGTCCAGCTGCGTCCAGTGTAGATAAGCTGCGATCAAGATTATAGAAGTAGGGACAATACATGGACGCCCTGTCTTATTTTTTCATCATCAACACGCTATACGTACGTTTACTACTTGAACTTCGCTCACAAAATACTTAGTCTGGGTGGAGCAGTTTAGTAGTGACCTCAAAAATACATATAATATAAAATACCATTTTAACAAACTACAAATTTAACAAAATACAAATTTAACAAACTCTCATGCAATCTATTTGCCTTTAAATAAGTTTGTCACCTCAAAACCGAGACTCTACATTCATATGAATTTACGCTATTTGTCTCTTCGTAAATTTGTCACATCAAAACCGAGACTCTACAATGATAGGAATCTACGCTTCGGCAGTTGAGCAATATTTAGTCGTACAAATCGCAACTGTTCTTTCTTGCACAGTTTATAAAGGGCCAAAATGTGCAATATATTTAGTAAACTGCGAAGGCATATGCGTTGCCACTATTAGTGACGGGGTTCGAATTCGGAAACGAAGTGCACCCTTATTATCGCTACGAACAGGCCGTGCATATATTTCTTCGTTAGTAGTGATGCAGAGAGTAATTTTGAAGAATACGCGCTGCGGTGGCTTAGCGGCCATGTTGTTTCGCTGCAACTCACGAGGGGGCAGGTTAGCTTCAGGCCTAGGGGCCGTATTTATTATAGAGGCCAATAGATTTGTTACAGTATGGCTTCTGGACAAGGTAGAATATGCAGTTACTCCAGAGGCTAAATGCGAGAACGACCGTGTCCCTAAAGATTCGGGTGCACCCAGGGAGACCTAATAATTAGGTCTCGTATTTTGGCATTACGGCGTGCTTCGTAATCATATCGTGGTGTCGTGGTCGTGTCGTAGCGGTACTTCGTAAATCAAGCACAGTGTTCGTACCGACCTCAAGTACTGTCACTCACATACTTCCAGGGAGCCCGCGTGCTATCGCATTCAGCCTAATTACGGCGCCTTCAACCCAACCGCCACGTCTGTAGATTCTACAAGTTTTACTGAAGCTCTGCAGCTTACTGAACTTGTGCTCTGCGAATCTTTCGCAAGTTCGCGTGATGCAAGTTCATGCGTGGAAGGCTTCAAATCTCACCGTGTCCCTCAGGCTGTTCCTTTGCTGGGCTAGCGTCTCAGCTCTGTCCTGTTCCTCGCGGAGGTTCTTGGCCAACTGGAGCAGGGTATCCTTGTTGCGCTGAGTTTCGACCTGCGGTGTATCGGCGCATGCGTTTGACGCCATTAGTCTCGTTTTTTGTTTTCTCTTCATTTTATTCACTTTCGTTGATCGACACTTTTCTACCCCTGTCGAGATAACCGCATATATGGGTCGGCATACTGCGTCCTCGCAGCTTCCAGTCTAGCTTTTTCGACAAGATATATAGTGTCAAAGAAAATTTTCTCAACGTCGTCATTATTTCGCAACATGCCATGAAGCGAATGTGCAAAAACTCGCGTTACTTTGTGCGAATGCTGCATGCATCGTCCTTAATTAGTGAATGGGCTATACGTGTGCTTTGAGGGGGACATATGCTTCGGGCTTGGTGAAAAAAAAAACACATTTCAAGTGCATTAAGAACTGCCGTGAACAATGCAGCCGAATTTAACTCTAGTGCGTGGCAAGAAACATTTACAAACAGAGCTAGAAGTTGCCAATTTTTCAAGTGTCCCCTCTTTGATGCCATCGTGCACTCACTTCGGTGGGCCGGGCGCAAGCTGTATGTCGTCAAACAGCAGAGTATGTCGTGACAGCAAGCCACTATTGCACTGGACAGGATCACTAATGTATAGGCCAAGTGAATAAGAAATCCTTGCAATAGCAATACACAATTCAGTGAATTTTTCACATTTTTTCAACCATTTAGATACAACCTAAGTGTATATTCCTTGTTAGTGGAGCTAATAGCGCGTCAGAAGTAGTCAAAAGAACCCCCCTGCCCCAGTTCTTCGCCTTTATTTCATTTACATTGGACTCTTAACAAACGTTATGAGAAGGTGATTGAGTTGGTGTATTTGCTTCACGATTCAAAACACTGCGCTTAGAACCCAGTCTGGCATGCTGTCGTATGGGCTACAGATGCTTCAATAACCAGTAACATCCGTACCTCCTGAGGTTTTCTTTAGGTAAAGCATTACGTCTTTACGCAAACCAAAAGGCCATTTCGGGAAGGAAAACATTCTTAACCCTCAATTTACAAATTTTGGTTAGGCAAAAGCGTGTGTTGCTTTCTTGAAACCTCCTTAAGGATGCAAAGCGGTTTAGGGTGAAGTGCTTACCTTTCGTCGAAGCTTCGCAATCTTTTTGGTCAGCTGCTCACGCTCCTGCTCCATCTGGGAGATGTCCTTGCGCAGTTCTTGAGTGTTCAGACCGCTGGCCTTGAGTGCTTCGCCCATCTTGTGCGCCTCCTTGAACTGCTCCATGGCCGCTTCGTACTGCGGGGATCCACTTTTTTTTTCTTCTTTTTACTGCTCGTGACTCTATAGTCGAAAATTGCCCTTAGATCAATTCGCGCGAAAATGATAAACCAAAATTTGATTTTCTGACCAGGGGATCGAGTTTTGGGCATATCAACCGTGTTGAATCTCGATTTTCCGGGATGGAGAGGTGCGTATATTCGCGTGTGATGTTTCATGGTTTTCCTCTCTTATTTCTTTCTTTTCAGCGTGGTATACGCAGGAAAACCGCCATTCCTACGTGCCTTTCCTTTCGGAAAGTAAAACTCGGGGCCAGCCGCCACGGCGCTTCTTCTCGCAGACAGGCTAAAAATTGTTTCGTGTGTTTTAGAGTTTAAGGAAGAAACATCGAAACGCAACACATCACATTCAAGGAATAAGCGTTCCACTTGTGAACTTCACGCGGCTTGCTGTTTTTCCTGACCAGGTTCGGATGCGAAGTGCCTTTTTATTGTGCTATATTGACACTCACAAGGGGTCGTTGCCGTTGTCCTCACCGTCATCGTCATGCTTCTCATTGAGTCCGAATTTCTAACATGACTTTCCTCATCGTGTGTTCTGCCCGAGAGCAAAAGCTCGTGAGCGCTGGCGACTAACGCGGCTGAAGCGGAGATTAGACGAGTCAGACGTCTCCGTCGCCGGTATGGCGCATACGATTCCATCACCCTCAGTGCGAGGCCTGTTGTTGATTACTGATGAAGTGGAAAGGGAACACCACCCAGCCCATCTTTCGTAAAGAGCATGAAAGGACGCCGGGGTGGCTTAGATCGAAGGCTGTGTCGCTCGGATGTCGTGGTTGCCGGCGAACCTCTTAGCAGCCCTCTTATCGACAGGCATCAGAGGAGAGCGTTTGAAATTGTTGTTTTGTGAACGCTTACTAAATTCGTGTTTAGAGAACTGACGGCACAAAAACCGCTTCGTTCTCTGGAACGGCCGAATTCAGCGTTTTCTGTGTTATGTTATATCGGATTCGAAATAGTTTGCTTATGTAGCTTGATTTATGTCGTATATGACGTCATAAATTGTTATTGCATTCATTGCTACGCCCTTAAGCGAAACCGTGATTTTGTTAGAGCTCATCACGGGAACTTCCGGCCGGACGTAACGCAGCGGCTGCGCATCTCCTGCGCTCCCGGCAAGCTGCAGTTTCGATATTGTTCAAATCGGGGCCTTGAATTTCGATGATTGGTTTCTCAAGTTACTTATTTTTTTATCTCTAAAAAAATTGGTATTCCACAAATCCTCAGGACTAGCAATAAAGTTTCGCATCCATCCATTCATTCCATTAATTGTCCCGTCCAACGACTTTTCCACATGAACAACTGCTTTTAAGCGAATGAAATAGTAACATAACGAATTTTTGTTAATTGATAAATTCGTTGCAGCTGCAGGGGCTTCAAAATGTTTCAGTTTCAACTTAGGGTTCATGCGCAAAGACATGTGCTCGACTGTTATATCACAATTATAAAAACAAATCTTTATTGTTAATAAAAATAAATTCAGCTAGTTTCATGGTGAAACTAGCTGAATGATCATCAGACAGTGAAGCTGCAGGCATGGTGATGATGACGTTTGATACAAAAAGTCGTCAACATCATTTTGTTTAATTTATTTATTTATACACTCCCCCTTCTAGCCGCATCACACCTTCTCCTACTACTGCTACTACTACGACTAATAATGATAATTATTATTATTATTATTATTATTATTATTATTATTATTATTATTATTATTATTATTATTATTATTATTATTATTATTATTATTATTATTATTATTATTATTATACGATGACAATGGCACAGGGTAGACACAGTGTCACGCGGGCAGTTATAATCGCGATCAGGGCCAACTATAGCCGGATTAGACTCGTTCTAGATGACGCGCTGCTACACGGACACTTTTAATCGCGATCGTACCTGATCTGATCCGCGCATAGTAATCTGGCTCCCAGATCGCGATATGACTGAAGTCTGCGCCAAACTCGATGCGGATTAGTTTGTAGAGGGTGGCGGTGATGATTTTCGATTGCGATCAAGAAATACGATCCGCATCGTGCCTGATCGTGATTAAAAGTGCCCGCGTGACAATCTCGATTTTGGTGTGGCGCACTCCCCGATTGGTTCTTATCGTAGGGAAGATGGAACAATACAACACCTTCGGACCTCTTGTCGAAGGTTTTCCGCATTAAGAAAGCGTTCTATAGACATACCGTTACGCACCATCGGATTATATTTAAAACCTTCAAATTTACTCTCTCGTGGTGCACTCACCCTCAAGCGCAGCGAGGTGAAAGTGCGAGGGCATTCAAGATTGCATAGCAGAGTCATTGAGATATACACAATAACTGTGGATCCAAAACATCGCATTTAACCAAACCAAGTTTATTTTCTTTTATATTTTAGATTAACTCTTATTCGCTATAAAAATCAGTTCGACCATCTTTTTTTTATTTTAAAAATAAGTTCTGGCCCGAAATCTTCTTTTTAAACAAAAGCACAAAATGTTCTTTTTTATATATTTTAAATACTTTAGCCTAGCTATACAAATCTTTTCCAATCATCCCTCAGTATAGGTGTGAGCCAGAATTTTAGGATCGACAGCTTCGTTGTAAAAAGACCCGTAGATTTAAAGCGTAATGGTAGACTCGGACGCTTAGCCGACTCGCTACGCTTTGGTGGCGTATACCTGCGCGTAGAGTGCCTGCAGGTCCACGTCCCCGCCCAGTTCGAGCGGCAGCTCGACCCTGACCAGGAATCGTCCCAGGTAGGCTCTCTTCCGTAGCTCGGGCAGTCCGCGCAACAACCACTCGAGCAGAGGGAGCACTGCCTCCTTGGCACCGGACACCAGGCCCTGGCGGAACGAACCACTGCGGAACAAGTGTCCGAGTTGCGCGCGTCACCGGCTGCTCATGTTACCCAGTTTTTTAAGGCGACAGCTTCAGATTTTTCATCAAACGGGAAGAAATGGGACCATCTCTCAGCGTCGGAAACGAGCGATGGTGCAAAATATCGTAGTCACGTGATGACGTCACAGAGCGCGAAATATTGTGTCGCCATGACGCCATGCCACAATTTGTGATTCTGAATCTAGCAAGCTTATTATGCATGATACAACGCGTATATCTGTTTCTTTGGCCCGCAAGGCATGCCGATGAGTGTTCTATAAAAGCTGCCTTTTTTTGGTCGGCTGCGTATGTAATGGCGTATGTTTGCCATCGCTATACGAACGCCGTTGCATGTTTACACTAAATACGTTTTCATTTTCGCGAATGCGTAGCGTATTAGAATTTAGCTGGTATGTATTCTCTCTTTTTTTTGCTTTTTTTACGTACTTTTCTCATCAGTAAGAACAGGCTTAGGATCAAAGAGAGAGAGAGGGAGAGAGAGAGAGATCGAACACCTGATCTGACCCTTCGTAATTTATCCCTGTTTAATCGTTGCGCGTCATGCACATGACCTACTCGCCCAACAAGTAGTTTTACTGTCGCCCCGCCGCGGTGGTCTAGTGGCTGAGGTACTCGGCTGCTGACCCGCAGGTCACGGGTTCGAATCCCGGCTTCGGCGGCTGCATTTCCAATGGAGGCGGAAATGTTGTAGGCCCATGTATTCAGATTTGGGTGCACGTTAAAGAACACCAGGTGGTCTAAATTTCCGGAGCCGTCCACTACGGCGTCTCTCATAATCATATAGTGGTTTTGGGACGTTAAGCCCCACATATCAATCATCAATCAATTTTACTGTCGCCTAATCTGTTCACACATTGAACTCGTGCTCCGAAGCACTCGATCTCTTCGTGGACCGCGCTCTTTGGTTAGGTTATATATACACCTACCTGTAGCGTAGAGTGGAGTTGTTTGGTTAAGGTAAACCTTCCCGTCCCTCCCGCCTCCCGAGATTCTTACATTTCTGTGTGTATATGTATTCTAACACATACAAAAACATAAAAACGCACAGACGATTCCATACGACATTCCATATTTACAGCGTGAGGTGATACGACAGAGAAGAAGGAACACAACAAGACACACGGAACGCATAGCTACAAACCAATTCGCCCAACATATTGACTTGTGCAAAAAAAAAAAGTGTCCAGGCACCCTCTCTCCCCTCGTTTCTGAAATATATTTATGGCTACGTGCGTAAGACTTGGCATGCACTTTCATACGTGCCTCACCCCCCTATTCTAGAACGCCCCTTCACTCAACGCTCCATCTTCACTTGAGAAAGCCGATGAAAGCGCCATCTCCAGGCAAAAAAAAACCAAAAAAAAAACGCTGCATATCAGTATGATTTGCTGATATTCTTGAGTAGTGTAGCGTAATTTTTATCCGAGCAGCGGCGCAGTGCGCAGCTCTGTCAAGTTAAGGGTGAAAGTCGAGTCGAGGAGCGTTTGTGAATGCGGGGGTAAGACTTGGCATGCACTTTCATACATTTTTGACGCCATTGGCGTTATTCCACAGCTCGCATCGTTCCGGACTACCACGTACGTACCGGCCAGCGATGTCAGGTGGAGGTCTGTACTTCACTATCCGCAGGAAGGCCAGGCTTCTTACGGCCAATTGCTCGCGGTCCTCGTTGCGCACGTCTGATTTCATCTGCAAACCATCCAACTAGAAGTCAATGATGCGCGCATATACTGGAATAAAATTTTTTCGCAAAAGCTAATAACGCAAGGCAAGGTGAAGAAAACAGGATGTGCAAGAGCGAACGTAACTTGCAAGGGACGCTCTTTCCTGTACATCTCGTTTGCTTCGCCTCGCTTTGCGTTATTATCGTTTGGAGAGTCGAACCGACTAGCCCGACACCGTGTTCTAAAGAAAGATTATACGTCACGATGACCTACTAATTATGGTACTCGACTGCTGGGCCGAAGGTCGCGGAATCGAATCCTGGCCGGGGCGGTCTCATTTTCGATGGCGGCTCATGACTCATAATCAGGTGCACGTTAAAGAACCTCAGGTGATCGAAATTCCTGGAGCCCTCCACCATAGTGTCTTTCATAATTATATCGTGGCTTTGAGACGTTAAATCTTGGCAATTACGATTAATAAAAAAATTGAAGAGCGCAATTTTATGCATTGGGATGACCCTTACAACATTCGAAATTCACTCATGCAATAAAGACGTTCCTTTTTTTTTCGTTACGTTCATTTGGGTAAGACAGATGTAGCTTGTATGAACAAATGAGTCATGATTATTTATGATAAAGCACACCTGTTCACCTGACCGTCTCGAGAGAGCTGAATCACGACACCGGAAGCGCTATATCATAACTTGGTATGTGTCACGCGTGAAAGGGGTGTATGCACATACGTCTTAGTAAATTATTTATTGGGTATTTCCTGGACATTCATCTATCGCGTTCACCACTTTTAATGAGTATTTTTGTGATACAAGTTGATCGCCATGGTACATCCACGAAATCTACACTAATTATTGTTTGTTACCCTGCCGATGTTGCAGAATTACTCGCGTTTTATGCACTGCTGCTCTATTTTTCTTTTTTATTGCCACTAAAGTGAACTTGGCTCCAAAATTGCAAACAACTAAAAGTGACTCAGATTAAATGTGGTTTGTTTCTACGTAGACCAAAAACGTTATGTAGCATTAAAAAAAAAGGTTAATTGGTTGCAGAAAAAAGGACATTTTCTTATATATCACTTTACGTGGTAGGTATTCCATATTGTACCGCGGTTGATATGTGGGAGTGGTGTCTTCATAAAAATAGATGTACTTTTATGAGTTGAACTATGTAATTATCATGCTCATGCTGCTAGTGAAGTAGTTACAATACTTTTAACATAAACTGAAAATTAAGCAGACCTTACAGGAGCACATTGCATGCACAAAAACTTTGCCCCTTGTTTTTTTCTGTTGCAACAAGTAGCTAACGACCCACATAGCACGAATAGAAAGCTCGTTAGCTCGAGAGCGCGACGGTAAATTTTTCGGAGACTGTTTTATAGCGCCCAGTCGCAGTTTTGGTTTCGGAGAGCGCACTGAGCAAGACGGTGCCGAGAGCAGTTTTTCTGTAAACAAGGCTGGCCACACAAAACCGCGTGCACACGAGCGCCTGCAGCGTTGACAACTCTTTTCAAGAATAATTGCTGCTATAATGCCCGCTGAGATGTTGTAAATATGCGTGACCACCCAAAAAAATGCACTGTCTATGTATAAGCACGTCAGCCCCTATACTACCATGCAAGTATGCTAGGACCTTCTCTTTCCTTGAGTAGGTCCGCCAGCAGATTTCTGCAGGAATTTGTCGGTGTGTGATTTTGTACGTAAATATTTGTGCTGCTTAGTTTTATTTTGTCTTCACTAGTACATTGATTGAAATTATTGTGATGTCATGTGACAGGAATATATTCTTGGTGCTTTGCTATAAACTTTTAGTTGGAAGTGAGAACTTGTCCTCCTTGTCCCCTTTGTCTGCCTTTTTTTGCGCTTCAGCTGTGGAAAATATGGAATACCAACTATGGCGCGCTCCCACACCTTGCTGCTATAGGAGAGAGTTCTCGTGAGGATCTTGACAGCGAACACAACTCGTGACTGGGGGGGGGGGGGCGATCGGTTAACACTCAAACCAAAGGTGCGTTTCACTTGCAGGTGTGCGACACGCACAACTGCAAGCAATTTTAAGTATCATATAGGCCTTATTATTTGTTTACATCTCGTAGATGATGAGAGTGTGTACTCACATGTATATCCCACAAGTTATCTCGCTTTCAAATGTTTGTGTGAGTACTCCTTTGACCCCGCGTAGTCGCATGCAGCAAGAATGTTTAGCAAACTCCACGAGCCACGCTGTGTACAAACCTTCGGGTCCAACGCGGCGAAGACGTCGTTCAACGCCTGCAGTAGCTGGTCTGGCCGAAACGCGTCGAAGCTGATGAGGTTGAGCTTCTTGTTGAAGGGCTCCTTGTTCAGTTCCTGAACGATGAACTTCAGTTGCTCACTCATGGTGGCAGCTCTTGTGCACCCGGTATACGAACGACAAGCGACGACGGTAGATGCTCGAAGCGGCCGGCTGGCCCGCTTTCCCTTCAACGGCCCGTAGCAGGAATTTCGACTCCCAGAGTGTGTATCCAGGAGCGACGCTTTGTTGGTTACGTTGGCGGTAACCATGGCAACGCTTAGCGGTGGCCTGGTTCAGATGGTTGGTTGCCCCGCGTCGTTAGGAGCGCTACCTCTGAGCGCCGCATGAAGGATGATGCTGATAGTGAATGAATTCGTCGTAGCGTACATTGAATACCGTCTATCTTTCGGATAAGTTTCGGTGCCGCTATATTGGGCTGTTAACCTTGTCGTTTTCTATATTTGACTACTAAACGAACAGTGCTGTTGGGTTTTCACGTGCCAAAACGACAGTATAATTATGAGACACGTGCTGTATATATGTCACACACTTCTGGTGAGGCCCCGCCGATCCAACATCGACGTGCGGCAGACTCGCAAGCTTCCACTTTACGTTTCGGCCTGCGACGCCTGAAAGGCCTCGAAGTGGCACATTTCGAATTTATTTGCGGGTTTGTCGACCCGTGCGGGGTTGCACGTGTGGTGATGCGTGGGCCTGACCGACGCACTCATAGAGCAGAGACTGAGTTTGATTCCACATAAACAATCATTTAATTAAAACAGGGGCAAAGGCAGGAGCTTACAAAAAATAACAAAGGATGAAAACTGATACGCGATGGAAAGAACAGCTATATAGCAAAATGTGCTAAAAACAGTACAAAAGATACAGGCTAAAGACAAATATGCCGAAAATTAATAGAATAACAACAAGGTGGAAATCAAAGGAGAGGGATACAAGAAAATAATTACAGAATGATCATGGTAGCGCTTTTGATTTTCTAAGTGCGACGCAGCGCACACAACTACAAATGTTTAAAGAAAAAAAAGGCTGGTTAAAATAAATTAACAGTTTAAAAAAAAGTCACAATAAAAAGTTCCATACGGACCAGGCCAGCTCTTGGTGCACGTAGGGGAGTTGACGGGTGCCGCTGAAGGTCTCGCCGGCTTGGTAGACGACGAGGGTGCCCGGAATTGCAGCCGTCTCAATACGTTGCGCGGGTCACTTTGTGCTCGCCGCCTACGCGAGACTCGCGACACCGACGACCGCACTTGTTGCTGGCTGTACGTCAACTGCCTTTTCCGATGCAGTTCAAACCGCCTCAGGGGCGTACACGTGCTCCCGTCTCATCTGGGAGTAATTTTTCTTGTTTAGATCGCCGGTGCCCCTTCCGGTACCGGTGCGGGGAAGACGAGCCGGCGCCACGCTGGGTCGTTATAGTCGCCGGATGTCATCCCCCAACACAAAAGCGCCCTTCCTTGGTAGGTGGGGCCCGCGGATGCTCCGAAAATTGGAGTCGTTTGTGACATAGCCCCCTTCTTAAGAATATTACTTCGTAATGTTCAAGAAAATCACAAACGCTCAATGTTCGAGAGCTTGCAGGGTTCCGGTTGTCCACCAATGCGTTTTCTTTTTCGCGCACCATTTCACTGACGTGGACGACATCGCAGAGAACACCTGACACACTACGCTTCACGGTCACCATAAGATAAAAGTCATAACCCGCGCACCACGACACGGATACACATGAAACACAAAAAGAAAGTCTCAAAAATACTGCACGATTCAAGGAAAAGGCACGTAGGCATTTTTTTTATGCCACATATTAAAACAATACACGCTTTAAGTGGTATTGAAAAGTCACTTATTGACACGCAGCTTTCGAAAAAGATGTATGAGTAATAAATCGGCATGATCGCCTTTACACAGTTCTTGAGCATGCTCCACACTAAAGCGCTTCCTTTCAAAATAATAATAGAAAGAAAAGTCTTGAATAACATAGCGCGCCCCGCCGCGGTGGTCTAGTGGCTAAGGCACTCGGCTGCTGACCCGCAGGGCGCGGGTTCGAATCCCGGCTGCGGCGGCTGCATTTCCGATGGAGGCGGAAATGTTGTAGGCCCGTGTGCTCAGATTTGGGTGCACGTTAAAGAACCCCAGGTGGTCTAAATTTCCGGAGCCCTCCACTACGGCGTCTCTCATAATCATATAGTGGTTTTGGGACGTTAAACCCGACATATCAATCAATCAAATCAATCAACATAGCGCCATGTTTGTGCACTCATGCGTACCGTGATTTACTTCAATTGTACGACCAAGCAGTACCTTCAATTAGAGTCCAACTAAATAAAATAACAACGTCCCTAAAACAAAGCTTTCCAAGCTGAACGGGTAATAGGTTGAAACAACGAACATCGTCTACAAACACACAGACGACAAAAGCAAACCAAAAGATTAACTAAGCTATTAGTCCCCCCATTCATGGAATGCTCCTAAATCGAAAAACATAAATGAACATTGTTTCAAAAAGTATCCCATTAGCCCTGAAGGATAGGTTTACGTTTCGATGTACATATACATAAGTTTTATCCGCGCCCGAGGTGGCCGCGCTCTTGGGGGAGCCGTTCGAAGCAACCAGGTTAGACAAAAGTGGGTACGGTCGCTACACGGACGCCTGTTTCCCGTTAGTCTACACCCCGGAGGCATGCCTTCATCGACGCCTCGTTCTACGAAAACGGGTCCCCGAGCCACGTCGTGTCGCTCGGCCGAAAGGCGCTGCTTCGCCATGCACCGCGCGCTTCGAGCAGGACAGTGGAGCGAAGGGGGTCGGCTCTTCCGAGCTCCACGAACAAGTGCCGGCCTCACCCCTCTATCTGTCGGGCGGTTTGAAGCATAGGGGCCCACTCGACTGGCGAATGCCACAAAACGCAAACGATGCTTTCGTTGCGTTGATTGCCGTTTGGCGATCCTCGGTTTCATGGGTGGATTTACACCCTTCGCTTCTCTCTTGTTCTTGCTTTTGCGGCGTCTTTTTCTTTTTGCACGTTGCTCAGTGCTCACTTTCGAGAAGTCCGCTTGCAACATTTGCAGAGCAGAACTTCTTTCGCTTGTCTCTTCGGCTATAATGCCTATACAGTCCGGATTTTCCGTTAACTTGTGGACACCCTGACTTGCGGCAAGCTTGACTGACGGCTGAGCAATGCAAGCGTCTTCCTTGGGGCTGCGCCGCTCGCACCTGGAAGAACTACTTGCCCCAACATTGCCCAGCTCGCAGTGTGCGTCAGCACCCGACTGTGCCCCGCTCTCTGTACAGGGGTCCTCACCTGCCGGGCCGGTTGTACTGTGAACATCACAGTTAGCTGCCATGGCGACGCCCATACAGGGTGGCTGTGCCAAGTCAATCACAGATGGCATTTCTGTATCGACAAGACTTTCCAGGCACAGCGCCTCGTCGCCATCACTGCGGCCTTCAGTGGCCTTTGTGGCCACAACAGGACTTTCAGCAGCTAACTCAGTAGGTTCACTCGCGAACCTGATGTCAGCCTCAACAGTACACAATTTTTGCCCGGCTCTCAGCGGTTTGGCACCTACGGTCTCTTTGCCCCCTTTGTGCCTTGCATCCCAGGTCTCAAACATGCGCCGTCTATCTTCCATTTTCTGGCGCAGTAGCTGAACATGATCCTGGTAAGACTGCTTGTTCGGGACACGGTCGGTCACGCTACTGGGCGCTCTAGTGTCTAAGCTAAGACCCGACTGTGCCACACACAGTCCCAAGCGCTCTTTTTCCTTTTGAATTCTAAGCCTTGAATTTTCTCGCTCCTGTTCCATCAAAAATTCCAGATGTTGCCTGTACCTAATGCGTTCGGCATCGCGCTCCTCTTTAAGTCTATTTCGTTCTTTTTCAACGAAATTATATAACTCCTTGCCTACAAAGCCAAAGGCTTTGCCCTGTTCAATGAGCTTATCAAACTCCGTGCCGTCCATTGTTAAAACAGTTGTCCACCAACAAAACAATAAAAGGACGTCTACATATCACGCTCAGAGCTACGTCAGTCTCCCAGACATCACCACGTGGTCGGCCCGTCCTGTCGCGCGGACGCCAGATAATGTGACACACTTCGGGTGAGGCCCCGCCGATCCAACACCGACGTGCGGCAGACTCGCAAGCTTCCACTTTACGCTTCGGCCTGCGACGCCTGAAAGGCCTCGAAGTGGCACATTTCAAATTTATTTGCGGGTTGGTCGACCCGTGCGGGGTTGCACGTGTGGTGATGTGTGGGCCTGACCGACGCACTCATAGAGCAGACACGGAGTTTGATTACACATAAACAATCATTTAATTAAAACAGGGGCAAAGGCAGGAGCTTACAAAAAATAACAAAGGATGAAAACTGATACGCGATGGAAAGAACAGCTATATAGCAAAATGTGCTAAAAACAGTACAAAAGATACAGGCTAAAGACAAATATGCCGAAAATTAATAGAATAACAACAAGGTGGAAATCAAAGGAGAGGGATACAAGAAAATAATTACAGAATGATCATGGTAGCGCTTTTGATTTTCTAAGTGCGACGCAGCGCACACAACTACAAATGTTTAAAGAAAAAAAAGGCTGGTTAAAATAAATTAACAGTTTAAAAAAAAGTCACAATAAAAAGTTCCATACGGACCAGGCCAGCTCTTGGTGCACGTAGGGGAGTTGACGGGTGCCGCTGAAGGTCTCGCCGGCTTGGTAGACGACGAGGGTGCCCGGAATTGCAGCCGTCTCAATACATTGCGCGGGTCACTTTGTGCTCGCCGCCTACGCGAGACTCGCGACACCGACGACCGCACTTGTTGCTGGCTGTACGTCAACTGCCTTTTCCGATGCAGTTCAAACCGCCTCAGGGGCGTACACGTGCTCCCGTCTCATCTGGGAGTAATTTTTCTTGTTTAGATCGCCGGTGCCCCTTCCGGTACCGGTGCGGGGAAGACGAGCCGGCGCCACGCTGGGTCGTTATAGTCGCCGGATGTCATCCCCCAACAAAAAAGCGCCCTTCCTTGGTAGGTGGGGCCCGCGGATGCTCCGAAAATTGGAGTCGTTTGTGACAATATATAAGGGAGGTCTC